CCGCACCGCGTCTCACAAAGACACAGTGATTGGAACCAAAAATCTCAAATTTGGACTCCAGACCAAAGGACAAATTTCCACTGGTCTAATGTCCATTGCATGTGTTTCTTGGCCCAAGCAGGTCTCTTCTTCTTGTTGGTGTCCTTTAGTAGTGGTTTCTTTCAGCAATTCGACCATGAAGGCCTGATTCACACAGTCCCCTCTGAACAGTTGTTGAGATGTGGCTGAGACTTGAACTCTGTGAAGCATTTATTTGGGCTGCAATTTCTGAGCGTGGTAACTCTAATGAACTTATCCTCTGCAGCAGAGGTAACTCTGGGTCTTCCATTCCTGTTGCGGTCCTCATGAGAGCCAGATTCATCATAGTGCTAGATGGTTTTTGCGACTGCACTTGAAGAAACTTTCAAAGTTCTTGAAATGTTCCGTATTGACTGACCTTCATGTCTTAAAGTAATGATGGACTGTTGTTTCTCTTTGCTTATTTGAGCTGTTCTTGCCATAATATGGACTTGGTCTTTTACCAAATAGGGCTATCTTCTGTATACCCCACCTACCTTGTCACAACACAACTGATTGGCTCAAACGCATTAAGAAGGAAAGAAATTCCACAAATGAACTTTTAAGAAGGCATACATTTACATTTTAGTCATTTAGCAGACGCTATTATCCAGAGCGACTTACAGTTAGTGAGTGCATAAATGTTTTCATACTGGCACACCTTTTAATTGAAATGTATTCCAGGTGACTACCTCATGAAGCTGGTTGTGAGAATGCCAAGAGTGTGCAAAGCTGTCATCAAGGCATGATTTGTTTAACACTTTTTTGGTTACTACATGATTCCATATGTGTTATTTCATAGTTTTAATGTCTTCACTATTATTCTACAATGTAGAAAATAGTACAAATAAAGAAAAACCCTGGAATGAGTAGGTGTGTCCAAACTTTTGACTGGTACTGTACATATGCACACACATACATACACACAGACACAGATACACACACACAAACACACACACACTCACACACACTCACACACACATACACGTATGCAGGTGTTCCCTGGCTGACAGAGGTGTAAGCCATGTAGTGACAGACGGGCTGTTTGAGGGAATGGCGAGAGGGAGGGAAAGATGGATAGATGGAAGGAGGGAAGGAGGGAGGGATGGAGGTGTGGAGAAAAGTGGGAGTGAGGAAAGGAATGGAAGGTGTGGAAGTGAAGAAAGGTTGTGTGTGTGTGTGTGTGTGTGTGTGTGTGTGTGTGTGTGTGTGTGTGTGTGTGTGTGTGTGTGTGTGTGTGTGTGTGTGTGTGTGTGTGTGTGTGTGTGTGTGTGTGTGTGTGTGTGTGTGTGTGTGTGTGTGTGGTGTGTGTGTGTGTGTGTGTGTGTGTGTGTGTGTGTGTGTGTGTGTGTGTGTGTGTGTGTGTGTGTGTGTGTGTGTGTGTGTGTGTGTGTCAGTTTCAGCCTCCCCTGCTCTCCAGTCTCAGCTGTGGATGTAATTAATTAAATGGATTAGTATGAAAATATGAAATTAGCTTGATGAATAGAGTCAAGTGTGTGCACAGTTCGTTGTGTTTGTGTTGTGTGTGTGTGTGTGGTGTGTGATTAGAATGTGTGTGTGTGATTAGTATGAGATGTTACATTAGTCTTAATGAATAGCAGATGAGAGCTGTAATTGAATCAAACAACATTTGTACCTGTTGCTGAAATGACATTCAAGCCCTAGAGCTCAAGAACCTTTCCTGCTCACTCCAAAATAACAGTTGTGTTTTCACCCTTCTGAAATAGACTAAGGTTGAGATAATTATCCACATCCCGTCATGTTGTGTAGAGCCAGCTATGTGCTTCAATCCCAGAAGATGTGAAGAGATAGTCCTCAGAGCAGTAGAGCAGAGAGGAGCTAACAGGAAACAGCAGATGTAATCTAATATCAGAGTCTGGTTAACGAGGATCATTTCCTCTGGCCATGTCTGATGAGTTTAGTTGTGTGTGTGTGTGTGTGTGTGCGCTGAAGGACGGTGGGGGCAACTTTTTATTACTGCTCATAACGACAGCACAGCTCTGCCTGGTATTGGAAGGAGTGTGTGTATGTGTGGTGTGTGATGTGCGTATGCTGTTGGAAGGAGGTTGTGTATGGTATGTGGGTGGGGGGGTATATAGCCTGTATATAGCCTGTATATAGCCTGTATATAGCCTGTATATAGCCTGTATATAGCCTGTATATAGCTTGTATTTAGCCTGTATATAGCCATGTTATTTTAACTCTTTATTGTTATTCGTTAGTCAATGTGGATGTATTGTTCATGTCACAATTCTTTTTTTTCCTTTTTGTATCTTAACCCTGTGTTGTTGGAAAAGGACCCGTAACTAAGCATTTCACTGTTAGTCGACACCTGTTGTTTACGAAGCATGTGACAAAGTAAAATATGTTTTGATTTGACCAACCTATAAGACACACCATACATACAGGTAACTGCCGAAATAAAGGAAACACTTGAGTAAATGAGGGATACAAAGTATATTGAAACAGGTGCTTCCACACAGGTGTGGTTCTTGAGTTGATTAAGCAAATAAAACATCCCATCAAGCTTAGGGTCATGTATATAAATACCAAGTTGCCCATTATTTTGGGTACCATGGCTAGAAGAAGAGATCTCATTGAAAGAGGGTTCTCAAAGGAGCATAGGGGGTTTAGGGTATGTGTGTTTGTGTGTGTCTCAGTCACCAGATCTCAACCCAACTGAACACTTAAGGGAGATTCTGGAGTGACGCCTGAGACAGCGTTTTCCACCACCATCAACAAAACACCAAATTATGGGATTTATCATGGAAGAATGGTGTTGCATCCCTCCAATAGAGTTCCAGACACTTGTAGAATCTATGCTAAGACACTTTGAACTCCTGGATGCGCTGGCAGCTTGTGGTGGCCCAAAGCCCTATTCAGACACTTTGTGCTGGTGTTTCCTTTATTTTGGCAGTTACCTGTACCACACCATCCATAGAGCCACTCTGTTCCATACTCCGGCAAGCATACAGACCACACACGCACACACATATCGTGACCACACTGAGTAGCAGTGATGTTAATGTGAACAGAGATTCCCACTGGTGTCTAAGTGTTCCCAACACCTGGCACATTCCAGCTGGACTAAAGGAGAGGATTAACAGGCACACACACACACACACACAGTGTGTTGCTGTGAAGCAGAGAAACCTGAGATAGACTCACAGGAAGCATAAGATGAGGCAGAGAGAGAGGTCATAAATTATAATTATCGGTTTGAGGACCTTTCACTATGATAGAGTGTCATCATCATAATGACTTAGGGCTTGTAAAACTTCACTTTGTCTAGGTCTTTGTCTGGCTTCTGGAGAAAGTTTTTTCAGGCGAATAACAGCTAGACTTACATATAGCCATAAGATGATCCACAATGACTTAAAATGCCTTATTGCATCAATGCATTATCATTATTATTTTTAATAACTGAACACTGTTCCACTGTTTCTCTCTCTCTCTCTCTCTCTCTCTCTCTCTCTCTCTCTCTCTCTCTCTCTCTCTCTCACTCACTCACTCACTCACTCACTCACTCACTCCACTCACTCACCTCACTCCTCCTCACTCATCTCACTCACTCACTCACTCAGTCACTCACTCACTCCACTCATCACTCAATCACTCACTCACTCACTCACTCACTCTCTCTCTCAATTCAATTTCAATTTCAATTTAAGGGCTTTATTGGCATGGGAAACGTATATTAACATTGCCAAAGCAAGTGAAGTAGATAGTAAACAAAAGTGAAATAAACAATAAATATTAACAGTAAACATTACACTCAGAAGTTCCAAAAGAATAAAGACATTTCAAATGTCATATTATGTCTATATACAGTGTTGTAACAATGTGCAAATAGTTAAAGTACAAATGGGAAAATAAATAAACATAAATATGGGTTGTATTTACAATGGTGTTTGTTCTTCACTGGTTGCCCACAAATATTGCTGCTGTGATGGCACACTGTGGTTTTTCACCTAGTAGATAAGGGAGTTTATCAAAATTGTGTTTGTTTTCGAATTCTTTGTGGATCTCTGTAATCTGAGGGAAATATGTGTCTCTAATATGGTCATACATTTGGCAGGAGGTTAGGAAGTGCAGCTCAGTTTCCACCTCATTTTGTGGGCAGTGTGCGCATAGCCTGTCTTCTCTTGAGAGCCAGGTCTGCCTACGGCGGCCTTTCTCAATAGCAAGGCTATGCTCACTGAGTCTGTACATAGTCAAAGCTTTCCTTAAGTTTGGGTCAGTCACAGTGGTCAGGTATTCTGCCACTGTGTACTCTCTGTTTAGAGCCAAATAGCATTCTAGTTTGCTCTGTTTTTTTGTTAATTCTTTCCAATGTGTCAACTAATTATCTTTTTGTTTTCATGATTTGGTGTTGTTGTTGTTGTCCTGGGGCTCTGTGGGGTCTGTTTGTGTTTGTGAACAGAGCCCCAGGACCAGCTTACTTAGGGGACTCTTCTCCAAGTTCATATATCTGTAGGTGATGGCTTTGTTATGGAAGGTTTGGGAATCGCTTCCTTTTAAGTGGTTATAGAATTTAACGGCTCTTTTCTGGATTTTGATCATTAGTGGGTATCGGCCTAATTCTGCTCTGCATGCATTATTTGGTGTTTTTCGTTGTACATTGAGGATATTGTTGCAGAATTCTGCATGTAGAGTCTCAATTTGGTGTTTGTCCCATTTTATGAATTATTGGTTGGTGAGGGGACCCCAGACCTCACAACCATAAAGGGCAATGGGTTCTATAACTGATTCAAGTATTTTTAGCCAGATCCTAATTGGTATGTCAAATGTTATGTTCCTTTTGATGGCATAGAAGGCCCTTCTTGCCTTGTCTCTCTCTCTCTCTCTCTCTCTCTCTCTCTCTCTCGGGAAGCCCAAGGCTGACCGGGCGGGCGGGTCCTGCTCTCTCAGAGGCGGGTTTTCCGCCAAAAGGGTTTGGTTGATTTGCTATCGATCTGAGGAAGAGAGGAGAGGGGAGGATTCTTAGGTGAGGCAGGGAGAGAGAGAGAGAGCGGAGCCGAGATGTATTGCTACTACAACTAGACTAAACTCAACCAGGACGGAATAGCCTGCTAGAGACACACCGCGGGGTCCGGGAAGGAAATCTGATGCAGGGGGCGAAGAAGGAGTGAAAGTTTTCGGTGGAAGGACTTTTATTTTTCCATCGCTACTGTTTTTCCCCTTTTCCTCCTCCTCTCCTTTTCTTTCCATTCCTCCGCCCTTACGGATCGAATTCCGCGGAGAAACTGCACTTGAATGCCCCTGCGCACCCGAGGAGGAGTGGAAGGAGAGAAGAGCAAGGAAGGAGAAGAGAGCGAGGGAGAAGGAGAGCAGAGGCCTGACTTTTCGGAAACCCCGCCGCCGCCCCTCACCCCTCTCCCCCGTGGATATCTGTCCCCTCTCCCCTCCTGGCCCTGCATGGACGGGGATGGGGAGAGCCGGATGTTATTACCGCGGGGCTGAGAGCCTCGCATCCTTGCCGTGTGTGCCCCACCTGCGGCCGCTGCTGCTGCTGCTCCTCGCTCTCTGCTACGGGGCGCACAGAGGTAGGCTAACTAGAGAACTTCTGATGTTAATTTCCTCAGGAGCCTCATCGGGACCTAGTTCCTTGTCCGCGGAAAACTTCAGATCGAGCGCTGTGAATGTGACATAACAGTTATAGGCTAATGGGGAGTTAATAACCAGTTAATAATGCCAAAACTAGGAATTCGGGATTGGCCTTACATGTGGTTAAGATTAGTCTATAGTGTATCTTATAGGCCTGTGTGTTGTAGCCTATTGGAGTGTATTGGAACCTGGACCTCCCGTCGTCGTCGTTATTTTCTGATATTGCCTGTCTCTTTCTCTCTCCCGCGGACCGCAGTAGCGCAGCAGTCAGAATGGAACGTGTTTCCTTCCCCCTCGCTCTCTCGTTTCTCGTGAGTTTCTCCCGTGGTGGCTCTGCGGTGGGTCGCTATGGCTGATAGAGAAAGGGAAGGGTGGCTCTGCTGATGTCTTGGTGTCAGGTCCTCTACATCCAGCCAGGCTAACAAAGGCTTGTTGACACAGTTTTAAAATAGTGTAGGCTTATAATAACAATGGGAATGTAAATGATAATTGGGTATAATTATGTCATGAATGTCTACATTTTAGCCTACTTTTACTTTTAATACACAAAATAATAGAGTTCAATTTAATAGGACCAAATGGAGACAATAGAATGGAATGAAATGTAATAAACCAGAAAAGAACAGAACCATATGGAGACAGTGTAATTAAGAATGTGTTCTTAATTGAATTAACATGTATCAATAAAGGTTAAATAGAAATAAAACACAGAATAGAATAGAACCATATAATCTGGAATATATTAGAATGGAATAAAATCATACAGAAACTATAGGATTGGTAAATAGAATAGACTAGAATACCAGAGGGGCAGTAGTAGGCTAGGCTACTTGAAGTCATCCTATAGAGGCCTGGTTTGCCCTTGTGACCCGGAGCTGGCTGACTGTTGTGCCCACACAGAGAGCCCTGTTCTGGACTGGCACTGTGACAGCCCACCACTCCTCTCTGGATGTCCCCCAGCCATAACCCAGACCCCAGGCCCTGTCATGCAGTCGTGCTCAATGACTCTGTGTGTGTGTATTTGTGTGTGTGTGTGCAAAGCAGTCACACCTCTGGTAATTCGTTTAACACAGTCCCAGGCAGCTGGACATGACACTGTCTGTGCACAGTTCTCTTCAGTAGGGGGATGGGGACGGGTTGGGAAGCATGAAAAGCACGGTGACGCTCCCTGTCAATAAGAATTTACATTTGAAATCAATTACATTTTAAATGATCTATTTAGAAGTTGGTCCTATTTCACTTTTTTAAAGTTAGTTCATGACACCATATTACACATTTCACAGTATAATTGCATTTAATTTATCAGCATGTCCTGTCTCATTGTGGATGTCAGATGTTGCAACGAGGAGATATACACAACACAAACAACAACTATTTAGAAGAAACAGTGACTTGGTGTGTGTGTGTTATAGTGTTGTTGGTGTGTGTGTGTATGTGTGTGTGTGTGTGTGTGTAGCTAGCTAGCTAGTAACAAGACTTGGTGTGTGTTATTGTGTTGAGGGTGTGGTGTGTGTAGCTAGCTGGTAACAAGGCTCCATAGCTGTCTTCTCATAGTGCTCATCACCACCGGACTGTGTGTAGCTAGCTGGTAACAAGGCTCCATAGCTGTCTTCTCATAGTGCTCATCACCACCGGACGCATCAGACCAGCTGGGGAGTCATCAGCTATCACTCCTGATATTATATTGCAGTGTCATTACCGCCAGCCATCCCCACAATTTACCGTTATTCAGCCCTGTGTGTGTGTGCTTGTGTGTGTGCGTGTGTGTGTGTGTGTGAGACGTACATGTGTTTGGTGTGGAGGTTTAATCTCAAGATTCAGCCTGATAATGAGAATGTGTTTAGTTGTTCACTCATTGTATCTGTGAGTAACTCTCTGTGTGTGTGTGTGTGTGTGTGTGTGTGTGTGTGTGTGTGTGTGTGTGTGAGAGAGAGAGAGAGAGAGAGAGAGAGTGAGAGAGAGAGAGCAGTGAGCTCTGGATCCATGGTGTTTAAATACAACACTGATCAAAAAAACGTATACTTTAAAACATCAACCAATCCTCCATCGTTAACACAATGGAAAGGTCAAATGCTTTATTATCTAAACGTTGAAAGTGTGTGGGTGACGGAGAGAAACAAAATGGTGCCTGTGGCGGAGAATGATGTGGGCGCTGGAGATGGGTCTGCCAGGGTGATGTCATTAATGTTTGTTTGTGTTTGTATGTGCATGTTTTGTATTGTTTGAAAAAATATATTCAACACTGATCAGTGGCTGGGAGGAGAAGTGACTCCTGGACAGGGAGAGGGGTGGGCTATGTCTGGCCTCTACCCACGCAAGTCTGAGTGAGGCTGAGCTGGGATTTCTCACCAGAAGCCCAGTTTGAATGTGTCATTCTGTAAACACTGGGACATAGAAAACTAATTTGTCCATGAGGGAAGCCTGAGAGGGTCAGACGATAATGTTTGCATTGTGTGTGTGTGTCTGTCTGTGTGTGTGGCATCCAGCTGTTATTTGATTTCCTTATTTCAGTAAATATCTGTGTGAGATGGGAAAGGTGGAGATTGATCGACACAGAGATACCTACCAACTGTATGTAGCCACACTCCACCTGCAGTACTTATTGAACAACATCAGTCATACTGTAAAAAGAGAGTTGGATCCAGTCATGATGAGGATTTGGGTTAGTTCTAATTCTATATGTGGCTCTGGGTCTAGGCTTTCAGAGGTGTGTGTGTGTTTGTGGCTGTGTGTTTTTTGAGGAGTAGTGTCAGTATTTAACACACTGGAGGGACATTCTAACCCAGTGTGAGTGGGGTGTTAAATTGTGTACCCTCCCTCTAATACTCACTACACTACTGCCTCCACCTGGTAGGACCAGGTACTGACACACACACACACACACACAGTCTTGTACAGCTAACATTGTGGGAACACACAATTCAGTCCCATTCAAAATCCTATTTTCCCTAACCCTAAACCTAACCTTAACCCTAACCTTAACCCAAAAACCTAAACCTTAACCCTAAACCTTAGCTCCTAACCCTAAAACTAACCCTAGCTCCTAACCCTAAACCTAATTCTAACCCTAACACTAATTCTAACCTTAACCCTAAACCCCCTAGAAATAGCATTTGACCTTGTGGGGACCAACAAAATGTCCCAAGTGGTCAAATGTATGTATGTTTGCTATTCTTGTGGGCCAGGATCCTCTCAAATCAAATGAAATTGATTGGTCACATACACATGGTTAGCAGATGTTATTGCGAGTGTAGCCTAGTTATTAGTGTGTGTGTGTAGTGTGTGTGTTTGTGTGTTTGTTTTTGCATTAGAGAGCCTCTTGTCTAATCTAATAGGAGCGCACTGTGGCTGATGCATTAGGCCTGGCCTCTCCTCCTCTTCACCCCTCCTCTTCTCTCCTCCTCTTCTCTCCGCTTCTATCTTCCTCTTCTCTCCCCCTCTTCTCTCCTCCTCTTCTCTCCTCCTCCTCTCTCCTCCTCTTCTCTCCTCCTCCTCTCTCCTCCTCTTCTCTCCTCCTCTTCTCTCTCTTCCTCTTCTCTCCCCCCTCTTCTCTCCTCCTCCTCTCTCCTCCTCTTCTCTCCTCCTCTTCTCTCCACTTCTCTCCTCCTCTTCTCTCCTCCTCTTCTCTCCGCTTCTCTCCTCCTCCTCTCTTCTCTTCTCCTCTTCTCTCCTCCTCTCCTCCTCTCCTCTCCTCCTCTTCTCTCCTCCTCTCTCCTCCTCTTCTCTCCTCCTATTCTCTCCGCTTCTCTCTTCCTCTTCTCTCCTCCTCTTCTCTCCGTCCTCCTCTCTCCTCCTCTTCTCTCCCCCTCTTCTCTCCTCCTCTCTCCTCTTCTCTCCTCCTCTCCTCTCCTCTCCTCCTCCTCTCTCCTCCTCCTCTCTCCTCCTATTCTCTCCTCCTATTCTCTCCTCCTCTTCTCTCACTTCTCTCCTCCTCCTCTCTGCTCCTCTTCTCTCCCCCTCTTCTCTCCGCTTCTCTCCTCCTCCTCTCTCCTCCTCCTCTCCTCTACTACTCCTCTTCTCCTCCTCCTATTCTCTCCTCCTCTTCTCTCCTCTTCTCTCCTCCTCTTCTCTCCACTTCTCTCTACCTCTTCTCGCCTCCTCTTCTCTCCTCCTCTTCTCTCAGCTTCTCTCCTCCTCCTCTCTCCTCTCTCCTCCTCCTCTCTCCTCATATTCTCTCCTCCTCTTCTCTCCTCTCCGCTTCTCTCCTCCTCCTCTCCCCCTCCTCCTCTCCCCTCCTCCTCCTTCTCCTCCTCCTCCGCTTCTCCTCCTCCTCCCTCTCTGCTCCTCTCTATCTCTCCTCTCCTCTTCCGCGGGGTTCCTCCTCCTCCTTCTCATCCTCCTCCTCTCTTGCCATGCCTCCTCTTCTCTCCTCCTCTTCTCTCCACTTCTCTCCTCCTATTCTGCTCCTCCTCGCTTTCTCCTCCTCTTCTCTCCTCCTCAGTCCTCATCCTCCTCTTCCCCTTCGTCCGTCCTCCTCTCCTCCTCCGTCTTCTTCCGCTCTCCTCTCCTCCTCTTCTCTCCTCCTTTCCTCCCTCCTTTCCTCTCCTCCCTCTTCTCTCCTCCGTCTTCTCGTCCCTCCTCTTCTCGTCCTTCCCCTCCTCCTCTCCTCTGCATCCTCTCCTCCTCTCCTCTTCTCGTTCCTCCTCTTGCTCAATCCTCCTCTCCTCTCCCCTCCTCCTCCGTCTCCTCCTCTCCTCTCCTCTCCTCCTCCCTCCTCTCCCCTCCTCCTCCTCTCCTCCTCCCTCTCATCCTCTCCTCCTCCTCTCTCCTCCTCTTCTCTCCTCCTCTCCTCTCCTCCTCTTCTCTCAGCTTCAACAGGCCTAGATGGACTACTGCTGCAGTACATTTACCAAAATACTATGTCAGGTCAGGCTGACACTGAGACCTCTGAAGAACTTCTAGATCTTTCCTCTTTTATAGCTCAGACACACCAGGACAACCAACGGCTCAAAGCAGTAGGTGGCCATTGTATCACCCCTGACCAAAATATCAAGCTTCTTAAAAAAGAAAAAAGAGACCATATTAAACATGGGGCCATGGGAGTCTGAAGAAGGACAAGCTTCATCAGGCAGCATAGATTATCTAACAGTGTGGATGTGTGTGATCTGTTATTCTTCCAGTCTGTGTCTCAGTCTTATCTCTGGCTCTGTGGGAAAGTCTGCAAGTCTCTATCTGAGTCTCTCAGCACTGCTTTTTGTTCTGGTTTCTAAAAGTCATAAAGCGCTGTTACTGTACACACACACACACACACAACACACACATACACACACACACACACACACACACACACACACACACACACACACACACACACACACACACACACACACACACACACACCACACACACACACACACACACACACACACACACACACACACACACACACACACACACACACACCAACACACACACCACACACCACACACACACACACACACACACACCAACACACACCAACACACACACACACACCAACACACACACACGCACACACACACACACACACACACACACACCAACACACACACACACACACACACACACCAACACACACACACACGCACCAACACACACCCGCCAGCCTGTTCTTTCTCTGCTTTATTGGTTTAATATGAACTGGCCAGTAGTGTTGTGTTTTCTGTGTTTATTTGGGCCATAGAGATCAAAGCCCCTAACCGACCTGACCCTGTGTGTGTGTGTGGATGAATGAATGCGAGAGCTTTCTGAAAGATGTACTGAATGTCATGCCAAAGCCAAAACCCCATGACTATGAGTTTCTATTACAGCCTTGGCCTGGCACACATTTAATCTGCACCACATATTCTCTATCTGTCTTTGGTACCATGAATGAACATTGATATTCTATATGACATTACTACCCTGTCAATAGATATGGTATTGCTGCCCTGCCAGGGCCACTGGTACTGTATTAGAACTGTAATAACATTGTATTTGTACTATAGTACTGACTGTTAGTATGTGTGTGTTTCTCCAGGTCATTGCCAGGTGGCCACCCCTCAGTGTCGTATCCAGAAGTGCACCACAGACTTTGTGTCCCTGACGTCTCACCTGACCCCAGCGCTGGATGGCTTTGACGTAGAGTTCTGTAAGGCTCTGAGGGCCTACAGCGCCTGCACCCAGAGGACAGCCAAGTCCTGCAGGGGCAACCTGGTCTTCCACTCTGCTGTCCTGGGCATCTCAGACCTCATGACCCAGAGAAACTGCTCCCGTGACGGGCCCACCTCCTCCACACACCCCGAGATACAACCAGAGCCCTGCAACTACCACAGCCGTACCCAGCACACTCACACACACCCTCATGCTCATACACACCCTCACTCTCACACACACACTCACACGCAGCCGGGGTACCTGTTCTGCGGGCTGTTTGGGGATCCCCATTTGCGGACGTTTAAGGACAGCTTCCAGACCTGCAAGGTGGAGGGGGCGTGGCCGCTGATTGATAACAACTTCTTGTCTGTGCAGGTGACCAACGTTCCTGTGATAACGGGATCCAGCGCCACAGCGACCAATAAGGTGAGGGGAAATCATTACTGTATATTATTTTAATGAAATGAAAGCCTCTGCATTTAACTAATAAAAAAAAGAAAGAAAAATAATTAATTTCTACATGCTTCAGAAAAGGTGCTAGTCCACAAAGTAGAAAGTAATACAGTAATAAATACAGAAAGACTGTTTTGTTTCAATATAAAACTAAAATCATTATTTGGAGTATGTGTCATCTTGAAGTGAATTAGCATATTGAGAAGAGAACATGCCCCAGTATAGAGCCCTGAGGTACTCCCTCTGTAAGACGTCTGATAAATGGTGGTTCTTACCCAGCTCTCCACTGAAACAGCAGTGTTGTAAAGATGCAGTATACAGTAAATTCTGGGATGGGAGAAAAGAGGTTGAGAGTGACGTTCAGAATAAATAAGTCGTCTAGTATGAAGAGCTGTGCAGCTGCAGCCTGGCCCAGATAGCTTTTATAGCAACCCCCTTCTTTCTATTTTTTAAACCTCTTTTTACGTGTTGCGTTTTGACTTTGCAGACTGTGTTAGTCTTTTTTGTGTTCTAGTTTGAGTTTATTGAATGGCTGGTGGGTGTGCGTCTATATTCACCTCTGATCTGCTGTGTCTCAGAGAAAGAGCTCTTATCATTGAAGCAGAACACACACACTCACAGGTGCGAGGAGAGCAGAGCAAACAGTTTAGTCTTGTGACTAACACTTGTGACTAACGTGGTGTTGGAATCCTAACTTAGTTAATGGCTGCTTATAGCATGACCCCTAATACCCTGAAATGAGCGGCGCGTGAAAGGAACCACTGTCTGCGTGTCAGCAGAGGACCCAAGACCTTTCACACACATATGGCTTCAAGCAGGTTACGGTCGAGAGCGAGGGGCGCCATACCATAAATGTCAAAACACGCACACGCACACATGCACACAAAACACAGACACAGGCTGAGAATGTTTTTAGACGTCACTAAGTCAGTTCTGTGCCTCACAAAGGCGTCTCTGTGGTGGCCAAGCAGCCATGTTGCCCCCCACCCAGGTGATAGTTGTACTACTGGTGCTCTGACCCTGTGTCAGGGGTGGGGCTCGCTATTAGTTATAATTATTAGCACACACACACACCCGTGACTGCGCCTGCAGCTCCTGGCCCAATGGCTGCTTAGGCCTCATCCCTCATCGCTGACAACTGGACAAAGCAGTCATTCATGCTATCACTAATGCTAACCCTAAGACTGTGTGGCTATGGCCACAGCCTTGCAGATACAGTAGAAGGACCTGGCTAAGGCTAACACCATGCCACTGCTAGCCGTTAGCCTGGGTGTGTTTGCTTAGCTGTGTCTGAAAATCACGCCTTGTTAAAAAGTAATTGGGTCATTGCTAAAATGTTAATGGAATGAGTGTTTGTGTGTGTGTGTGTGTGTGTGTGCGTGGGTGGGTGGGTGTGTTTGTGTGCGTGGGTGTGTTTGTGTAAGGCAGAGTTGGACTGAGCCCTCTGACAAATATGATTTCAGCTTGTTTTCAGGGCACATGGGTGTGTGTGTGTGTGTGTAACCAATAAATAATACAGTAAAAGCCATTTATAGTTTATATTGTAGTATTGTATATTAGTTGTCAGTGTGTAGTCAGTGTTCTCTTTGCTGCAAAGAATGGGGGTTTGAACAAAACAAGTGATATCCTTGCTATGTTTGTAATATAAGATATTATAAAGTGTCTGGCAAACCTGTTTTTAACCTGCTTTACACAAAGATTAAAGTTATTGTGTGCCTGGGTACTCTATGATCATTTTGTGTGTCCATAGATAACCATCATATTCAAGCCCTTTGAAGAGTGTACAGACCAGCGTGTGTACCAGGCAGTAACAGATGACCTGCCCGCTGCCTTTGTAGACGGAACCGTGAGCAGCGGAGACCCCAACCATAACGTTAACGGAAATAACGGTGACTCTACCGGTAAGGTACGGGCGCTGTGGATCTCGGAGCGTAGCCCCGGTCACCACGTGGAGCTGCACGCCGGCTACATCGGTGTGACGGTTATCGTACGGCAGCTGGGGCGCTACCTGACTCTGGCGGTGCGCATCCCGGAAGAGATGGCCCATGCCTACGACGCTACGCAGGACCTGCAGCTCTGCCTGAATGGATGTCCCACTTCGGAACGCATCGACCGGGGAGGTCACCTGCCCCTGCCTCTCCCTCTACCACCTCCAGCCCTGGGCTTACATCTCCAGCATCCACAAGGCCAGGGCCAGGGTCAGCCCTCACACACAGCCCCAAACAGCGCCCCCCAGAGGTTCAGTGTGGAGGGTGCACGTGCACGCTGCAGGGAGCAGCTGGAGTTACAGGATATTTATTTCCACTCGTGTGTGTTTGACCTCCTGACCACTGGGGACGCTAACTTCACGGCAGCGGCGTTCAGTGCTCTGAAGGACATGGAGAGTCTCCACCCTCACCGCGAACGCTGGAGGATCTTCCCGCCAAGCTCCGCCTACACCTCCCAGCCTATCACATGGCTCCTACTGCTCACACACTTTGCACTTGGCTCTGCACTGGTATAGCGTGTGTTTGTGTGAGTGTGTGTGTGAGTGTGTGTGAGTGTGTGTGAGTGTGTGTGGTGTGTGTGTGTGAGTGAGAGAGTGTGTGTGTGTGTGTGTGTGTGTGTGTGTGTGTGTGTGTGTGTGTGTGTGTGTGTGGTGTGTGGTGTGTGTGTGTGTGTGTGTGGTGTGTGTGTGTGTGGTGTGTGGTGTGTGTGTGTGTGTGTGGTGTGGTGTGGTGTGAGTGTGAGTGTGAGTGTGAGTGTGAGTGTGAGTGTGAGTGTGGTGTGAGTGTGAGTGTGAGTGTGAGTGTGAGTGTGAGTGTGAGTGTGTGAGTGTGAGTGTGTAAGTGAGTGTGTGTGAGTATGTGTGTTCATATAGAGCCCCTAGCTGAGCTGTAGGATAAAGTTGCCTCTTGACGCAGATCTAAGGTCAGTTTTATGTTTTCCCCTAATGGTTATGATTGAGGAGGGTAAACTAAGCTGATCCTAGATCGGTGTCTAAGAGAAACTTCTAACCAGAGCCCCTCTGGAGATTTACCTTTTTCTTCTTCTTGGTGAAAAGAGAATAGTTGACTGAACACCCTGAGGCATATTACTGCCATAAAGGAGTCCACAGCTGGAATCTGAACAGATTCCATGACACTCCTGTAGTCTTCCCATCTCTGCTGTGTGGGACCTAGCAGGCTTCCTGGAGATTATGACCTGTCTATATTTGAGGATTACACATATTAAAAGGAAGACCCAAACCAACCAACACTCCAATTTGTGTGTGTATATTGTAGAAACACACTCCCAGACTGTAAATAGTGTGTGTGACATATCCAGGAACGCTGGATGGCGTGTTTTGGTTTTTATTTTTGCGTGATTTTGTTGTGATTGTTTTTAGACAGAGGAAGTTGTTTTAAGAGAAGCACTTTATTTCGATTTTTTGCTAAATCCACACCAGTGTTCCCCCTCTCGCCCTCTCCACCCCCAACCCTCAACCTCTCCCCCTCTCCACCCTTCAACCTCTTACCTTCTCCACCCCACCCCACCCCCTCGACCTCTCCCTTCTCCACCCCACCCCCTCAACATCTCCTTTCTCCACCCCACACCCCTCAATCTCTCCCCCTCTCCACCCCACCCCACCCCCTCAAACCTCTCCCACCTAAACCCCACCCCCTCAACCTCTCCCACCTAAACCCCCCACCCCCTCGACCTCCCCCTTCTCCACCCCAACACCCCCCTCAACCTCCTTCTCCTTCTCCAACCCCACCCCTCCAACCTTTCCCCCTAAACCCCACCCCCTCAACCTCTCCCACCTAAACCCCACCCCCTCAACCTCTCCCACCTAAACCCCACCCCCTCACTCTCTCCCCCTCTCCACCCCCTCAACCTCTCCCACCTAAACCCCACCCCCTCACTCTCTCCCCCTCTCCACCCCACCCCCCTCAACCTCTCCCCCCTACATGGCCCTTCTTTAGAGTCTGAGGGGCCTTATCAATAAACCCCCCCCACCCCCCCACCCCCCTCTCCCCTCTCCCCACTGCCCCCCCCTACCATCCTCCAACAGCCCAAGCTGTGGATTTCATCTGCAGTTTTCGTCACTCAGTGCAAATCTCAAATGACACCTGATTCCCCGCAGTATGCTACTTTTCACCAGAGGGAGATAGGGCATGTAGTGAACCAAAGTAGTGAACTATATGGGGAATAAGGAGCCATTTGAGACAATTAACCAGCTCATTAACACAGTGAGATGGAATCTCTGTTTTAAAGCAGAGATTCCAAAGGCAGTTGAGTTGATTTAGCCTCTGTTCTATAATAACTTAATGTGAGCTATTTTCTGTTGAATGTATTCTGTATGGTACCATAGTAGCTGTTCAGAACAGTTTCAGACCCACCATTACCGTTCAATGTTTGATTATCATTTACAGTATATCTGCAAATACTGTGTGTGTGTGTATATGCGTGTGCGCAAGTTAGCGTGTTTTACCTGGCTTATTGTCTGAGGACTGAAAAGTCAGTCACCCTCAGTAACAATTTTTATGAACATATTCACTGTTCACATGGTGTATTGACTATGACATGCTCTTACTGAGTTTTTTTACTTCCACAAATTTCAGCTGGCGGTAACAGTTCAATGCATTTACTAAACAGCTTTGACTATCAGCTTTTTGTTGTTGTGTGTTTTCTATGTTTCTATGAGTGTTCAGTTTGCTTTCTGTTGCAACCAAAGACAACCACATATGGTGATTCACCATCACCATCACCCCCCCCGAACCCAAACTGTAACTGCTCTACCCCGCAACCCCGTAACCCCCACCCTGACCCTTCCTCCCTATCCACCTCTAATGCTTAGTAAACTTAGCTACTGTAGATGGACTCTATTTTGCTACTACTGCCAGAGCTGACGGGCTGCTCAAGGAATGGGATACATGGACTAGGCTTTAGTAAACTGTAGACCAGGGGTGCACAACTCCAGTCCTGGAGGAATGTAGTAAACGCAGGCTTTAGTTCCAGCCCAGCACTAACACACCTGATTCAGCTAACCAAGATCTTGATGATTGGTTTATTAGTTGAACCAGGCAAGATATAGCTGGGGTGAAACAGAAGCCTGCACACACTGCAGCTCTACATAACTACCTGCTATAGACAGAACACTGGGACTTCCACAGGCCGAGACGAAGTCACACACTCACAGATAAAACTACAATGCAGTGTCTGATGGGATATATATGCCCTCATATAAAATTACAAAGCAGTGTCTGGTGGGAAATGTATGCTCAGTCTGCCTCTGGCATTGTGAACTCTTAACTCATGTGTGAGTGTCCGTGTGGTGAAGAGTGACTGCTCAATGTTGAAATACGTAACTTATTTATAAACGTAGTGTCTGTTAGAGGAAGGTACGCTCCATATTCTTGCTGTTTCAGATGTGATTGTACTGCCACTTAGTGGCGCTCCATTGCTATGTCAGTGTTTTACTCTTATGGAGGCACTAATGAAAACTTGGAAAAAATGTAAATTTGTGCAAGTGTTTTATTTAAAAAACAATAAAAGAAAAACAGACCCAATGTATCTTTTTCTGATGTATTTTTCTTCGATTTGCCCTTTGTTGTTGTTTACAAGAAATACTTCTACAGACCAAACAATATTATCCTAAAAAGTATTAGCATTTTATTGACATATCTTATGTTATCTCACATTGTCTCTGGTCTTAGGGCTCGATTCAATCCATATCATCGAAGTTCAGCGCTATAGCGCGATTGAAATTTAAAGGCAATGTTCAAGCAATCGTGGAGACTGCATTCATGGTAAACGCTGCATATGTTGGCTCAATTGGAAATTACCTTTACATTTCAAGCACGCTATAGTGCTGAACTTCGGCGAAACGGATTGTATCGAGCCCTTAGTGTTTCTAACTGACAAAGAATTAGGTCAGAGTGGAAGCCAGTTGTCTCTGTATGTGCATCTGTCTGAGATGATCATATACCACAGGTTTGTACACACACACACACACACACACACACACACACACACACACACACTGTAATTGTCACCCTAACATTCACAGGGACACCTGCAATCGCCAAAGATCTCCAAGTTTCTAAGAAGCGCGCCTAAACTCATGAACACAGAGCTACTCCAGCAGACGTCCTCTGCAGACCCCAGCCAATACAGAACATCCTCTCTTCTATGGTCATCATCATGGTAGAGATGTAAAAGACATCCTCTCTCTGTGGACCATGGTCTCTCCTCTGTAAAGATAGTATAGAAGTAATCCTCTTTTCATCTCCTTCTGACCATCTGAAAAGGGGAAATACTACTATTACAGCCAGCGATTAATGTTACAGATTACGGATGTGTGGAAAAAAAGTCAGGTGTTAAGGAGTTAGGGGTCAGGGGTCTCACCACTTTATAATGGCACATGCTGTGATCAGAGCATTAAAGATGGTGGTCTTAAGAAGGAGGAGCCTCAAGGCCTGAAGAGTCACATGATCAGTCCACCAGCCAATGGCTGCATAGAAAGAGGAAGACAGAGGTAACTGGGAATTTTTGCAACTACAGGCCTTTTTGTGTCCCAGGGGTAGATAAAAAAATCTATACATATGTACATTTTTATTTTACATATATTAAGTTGACACTCAAATAAGCTTAAACTTTTCTTTTTCATTTTTCAAAAGTTTTTTTGTCATTTTGAAAAGCATTGTCCCACACCTTGACTTTTGATCTTCTGCTACGTATTTAAACAAGATAAATGAAAGCTATTTACATTTTCAATGTGCATAAGCCCTAAATAAATTATTTTCTACAGTTGTCCCACAATTTTGCATCATTACCATCACACTGAACAAAATGATAAATTCTAGTTTAAAAAAAAAACATTTGACACATCAAGTCACACAAGAACTGGGAAGTGACAGTGGTGAACAACGACATGACATGGAGTGTATGATAGTATATCTCCACCTTCAAGAAAAGTCACTTTGAAAATTATTGGAATTTATCACATGACCAAAGGTTAAATCCAAAAATGTTGAAAATTGTCTTCACCAACACTATCATTATCACCACAAAATGTGTCGGTAATGACTATTTCCAGGTTATTATCATTACAAAGTAGCAACCTTTGTATAACTTTTTTACAAAATGGATATGTAAACCTCTGCTCAATACTGCTTATCAAATGATATTATACTGTCTTTATAACAATCAACGATACTGTAGATATCTATTTCCACAAACTTGTTTTTTAACAACTAATGCAATTTAACATTACCCTGTCATTACTGCCACACAGTCATTACACCAACAATGTACACATATTTCTTGGAGTTTATATTTTATGATGTGGTCCTCTGTAGCTCAATTGGTAGAGCATGGCGCTTGTAATGCCAGGGTAGTGGGTTCGATCCCCGGGACCACCTATACGTAAAAATGTATGCACACATGACTGTAAGTTGCTTTGGATAAAAGCGTCTGCTAAATGGCATATTATTATTACATCAGCAGAAGGTGTTCTGGAAAAATGGAGTAAAATCTATGTATTGTCGAATAAAATGGTCACACCCTTTACCAGTTTATGGTTCCTGACAAAATGAGGAAACATATTTCTGTTGATAAAAGTTGTTTTCAAGAAACAGATTTGTTTATTTTTAATAAGAAATGCCAAAAGTCACTCAATTACTGTTCATAAATGTTTTTTTGTTACAAATTAATGTTATAACTAAATTCACCACCTCAATGGCAGTTAAGTTCTTGAGAATTCTTACACTTACCTTCAAACACACTGTCATGATGTTCATAGCATCTCTCTCCAAGGTCTTCATCTGTAGAAAAAAGATGTTCACTATCCCACTCTCTCAACAGAACTACAGTATAGTATACCAAGTTATTTGAAAGCATGCACACACACACATACACACACACACACAGACACACACACACACACCGAGCCCTACCTGTGAAGGTGGCATGGTGTGTCCTGATGACGCTGGCGTGGCGTCGGTGACTGACAAAACAGCTGTATGATGTCCACTCACTGGTCGCCCCGGTTACTATCGCCACGGCACTGCGCCACTGTCATGTTCCTCCCCGGTCACACTGTAGGGAGCACTGGCAGGACTCACTAGATGACCATGTCAGAGAGAACAGACATGTCAAGTCATTAGACCGTCATGTTGGAAAGGACAGAGATAACAAGATTCTCAAAGATGTTGAGCAAGTAACATCAGGTCGTGTGTGTGTAGGCCTACCTACCCTCCCCAGGTGACATCCAGTTAACCTCCAGGTGACCCTTCCTCAGGTCAGATATGATACACACCAGCAGCGTCCAGCCCACCCTCTCACCTGCCAGGTGCACTGGGGGGGGGGGGGGGGCAGGGAGGCCAACACATCACCATGTACTGTGGTAGGGAGGGGGGAAAGACAAGAGAGCGAAGGAGAGGAGAAAACTCAGAAGAGGAGAAAAAGGGGGAAAGAAGAGAGAGTGAGCTTTAACACAGTCTGTAATAGTCTCAGTCCTTTTGTTTTTACTCAGTATATTTACCAACTAAAAAACAACAGCCAAAAAACAACAATCATCATAACTGAAACTATTGAGAACAAAATACAGTAGGTGAAGATATATCTTTAAGTGAGTTAGTTAGTCGGTCAGTTCTTTAGCTAGCCACGGACTGTTCACTCTGTTACCATCTGGCAAGCGGTATCGAAGCATTGGGACTTGGACCAACAGGCTCTGAGACAGCTTCTACCACCAGGCCATCAGACTGCTGAACAGCCAACCCTAGCTATCACCCTGCACAGACCTGCACCTTAGAGACTATTTTCACCTTTGAGACTATTTGCACTGACTATTCACACATCCAACCCTTACCCACACGCACACACACACACGCACACGCACACGCACACACACACACACACACACACACACACACACACACACACACACACACACACACACACACACACACACACACACACACACTCGTTTGTTTTACTATCGTTGTGGGTACCAAAACATTTATTCCCATTCAAAATCCTATTTTCCCTAAAACCTAACCCTAACCATAACCCCAAACCCCAAACCCTAAAACTAAACATAACCCTAACCTTAATTCTAACCCTAACCCTAATTGTACCCTAGCCTCAAACTTAACCCCTAAGCCTAAACTAGCCTTTTTCCTTGTTGGGAATGTCCCTACTTCCTTGTTTTACTTGGACTTCTGGTCCCCACAAGGATAGTAAAACCAATCCACACACACCACAAGAGGCCATTTCACCTCTGCTCTTTCACAGAGTCATTCTAACTATATCATGTTTACAAAGTGTTGTGTCTATAGTTCAGAGGCCCATAGAATCCTACTGTAGTGTACAATAGGGAGTTCTCTGGTTGTGTCCTCTACTGTGTGAGTAGACCAGTAGTCTACCAGCAGTAGATCAGTAGACAACAGGTAACCACAGAGGACACCTGCAGCTCTGGGATGTTAGATATGAGGTGAGAGGCTGATCATATTAATCATACCCAAAGTACACCTGCATACACAAACACACACACACATGCACACACGCACGCACACCAGGGTTGGGCTCAATTCAGGATTTTGGAATTGACACCCATTCAACTAATGAGCTGAAATTCGAATTGACCACACCCCACAGGATGTAAAATTTGAATTTGAGTTTGAGTAACAGGAAGTAGAATTTAATTCAGTGCAATTCAAATAAAATTCCACTCAGTCATAGACCATAAGAGTTTCATTGAATCTAACAGGTCACACTTCCAGATACCAAAGAATATATCACTTTTCTCTGGAAACAATATTTATATTCTCTTTTAACCTTAGTGCTTGCAATACCCAATTATATTTCGCCCAACCAATTCATTTGTTTGGCTTCTTTTTGAAGACCTCAGGGTCAACTTGAGGGTTAAAGTAATGCATTCTGGGAAATTGTGATGCGTGATTTGAAGGAGTCAGGCGCAGGAGGGTAAATCACAGTATACTGAGTTTATTCCGTAATACAGCGTTAACCAGTCCAATGTGCAAAACAGGCGCACTGGAACAAACAGGCACACAGGGAAAATACCCCGGCAATACAAAATACACTGAGCTCAACCGAGCCACTATCTCCTCACAATAAACAATCACCCACAAGGACAAGGGGGCAGAGGGAACACTTATACACGTACTAATGAGGGGATATGAACCAGGTGTGTGTAATAAACAAGACAAAACAAATGGAATGATGAGATATGGAGCGGCAGTGGCTAGAAGGCCTGTGATGAAGAATGCCGAAGCCTGCCCGAACAAGGAGAGGAGGTAGCTTCGGAGGAAGTCGTGACAGAAATGTAGTATTTCCCCCATATTTAACACCATTTAAGTGATTTATTGAATATAATAACTTAGAATATTAGCATGCAGGTTTTGTTTTACTTGGTCATTCATTTTAAGAGTTTTTCCTGAAAATCAACTGTTTCAACAATATTTTATATAAATGTATATAATGACGTTTGATGTTTTATGTGTATATTTGTATAGACTACACCTAATATAGAATAGAAGATGCATTTGAATTTCACTGAATTCAATTAATTGAATGAACATTTTAATTGCAATTCTGTTTCCTGTTTACTACTTCAATTCAAATTCTATAATTTAATTGGAGTTTATGAGGAATTCGCAATTCAATTCTGAATTGAGCCCAACCCTGACACACACACACACACACGCACGCGCACACACACGTGCAAATCTCATGCTCTTCAGAAGCCTGGTGTTCTGGAATAAATTCCAGAACACCAGGCTTCTGAAGAGCCTGGTAAATTCCAAGAGCATCACTTCAAGAACCTCATGGTACTGTCAGGAGGCTAGTTGTGCACTGTGGATGAGACACATGGAAAGTATGTGTTCTTGCAGTGTGTGTATACAGGAGAGATAGTGTGTTGGATATAGTACGTTGATATCCAGTATGAAATGTGAGGTGTTGTTGTGGTGGTAGTGTGGATTAACCACCTGGTTTCCCCTCCTGACCAGCTGACAGGTTAAATACAGACACAGCTATATATATACAGTCCGAACATCAGCCTGGAAAATATGAAGAAACACTCTAATAATATGACTGCAGTCAATAATGCATGGACAATCTTAAAGTAAACCATTCTAAAGAGGGTTGGTAAAGAAAGGAAAACTTTACAAAAAGGAAGGTCACACACACAGCTGCTGTACTCGCGGGGATAGGAAAGGGGGCGGGAGCATGAAAGAGAAAATGAAAGCTGTCAGCAGAGACAGAGAGCGAGGGAAGGATGATACAGCTCAAATGAGGTAAATTAATAAAAACATGGAATTAACCTCCATCTACACCTCCACCCAACTCAGGGAATCTGGGGTGCTAGGGCAACATGATTACTGTTCTATGGTGATAGTGTTGAACTTATTAACATCTAAACAAAGTTATTTAACTGTTTAGGGGGTCAATGTGCGTTTGTGTGTGTCTATCCTAGTATCAGATTACAATTACAGCCCTGTCCTTCTCTACTGTAGCCTGCCTGGACAGCTAGGGTCATTTATAACCAGCTATCTCTTACACTCACCATGTAACACACTGGGATTGCTGCCTGGCTGTAAGCGTGTGTATCATTGCATAGAATAGATAGCAGCCTTTATCGACCAGACCGGAATTTAAATTGTTCAGCTTCTTGGCTTTATAAAAGCAGACCTAATTAATTCAACACATTACCACTTCATTACTGTGTGAGATCCTCACTGTAAGAAAAATAAATAAATAACATAGCTGTTTTTTCTATCTTCCTTCAGGTTCAAGAAAGAACTTCTGGACATTTCTACTAGCCTGTTGCTGTAAGGTTATACATTTCCGTCTAACCAGAGAGACTACGTTCCTCCTGAAGTGTAATTATCAACAGCTATCCTCCCTGATGTTTCTCTACGTTCTGAAAACAAACTGAATGCCTGCAGACTGTTTGCTGCTCTCAAGAGCGATCATTATTATCCTTATCCTTACAGTAGTCCTCCAACAACATTTCCACCATAATGGTCAGGTTCTTGGTTCTGGCCCTCCTGTCTCTGGCTGGTGTGAACCAGACCTCCGCTAGCCCGACCCAGGCCTCTGAGCCCCCTAACCCCACTGAGGAGCAGCCTCCCCTGGGTACAGGAAGCCTCTCATTCCCTTGGAGCCACCTCCGTCTTCCGGGGTACATTGTTCCGCTCCACTACCACCTCCTGCTCCACCCTAACCTCACTATGCTCAGCTACAGCGGTACAGTCCGGATAGAGCTTCAGGTTCAGAACAATACCAACTGGGTGGTGTTGCACAGCAAGGGGCTCCGTATCACTACGGCAACCATGTTGGACCAGAACCTGGCTCACCTGTCAGACCAGGTAGGTTACTCCCTCAGAACTAAACTGTCATGCTCAGTTTCTAACGATGTCCCACTTTTCTCTTCTCTGACATGTCCGTCTAATGACTACCGCATGTGTGTATGTGTTCCTGTACCTGTGCGTCCTCAGGTGCTCCCTGTGCTCCACAATCCTACCCATGAGCAGACTGCCATCTTCTCTCCCAGAGTACTCAGCGGTGGGCAGAAGTACTTCCTGTTTCTGGAGTTTGGGGCGGAGCTAGGAGAAGGCTTCTATGGCTTCTACAGGAGCACCTACAGAACCAGCACCGGAGAGACACGGTATGGAGTGTGTGTGTGTGTGTGAATGTGTGTGTGTACCTCACTCTCTCTCTCCATGTGAGGGAGAAAGGCTGTGTTGTACATCACTCCCCAACCAAATGTTTTTTGTGAGACATCACATGATAAACTCCTTGTAATGTCTCTCTCTCTCTCTGCTCCCCGCTCTCTCTCTCTCTGCCCTCCCTCTATCTATCTCTCCAGGAACCTGGCCTCCACTCATTTTGAGCCCACAAGTGCTCGGATGGCGTTTCCTTGTTTTGATGAGCCGAGCTTCAAGGCTAACTACTCTATCAGTATCAGGAGGAGCCCGGCACACACCGCCCTGTCCAACATGCCTGTAGTGAGTAAACACACAAAAGCAACATGGTGGCAGGTGGATCATAGTATGTGATTGTGTATTCCAATGTCTGTGTGTGTTTCCCCTTTAGGAGCAGACAGTGGTCCTGGATGATGGACTAATGGAGGACCGTTTTGCTGTGAGTGTAAGGATGAGCTCCTATCTGGTGGCCTTCATCGTGTGTGACTTCAGATCCGTCAGCGCAACAACTGCCTCAGGGGTCAAGGTAGGTAGGACTGGGGACAGGGGTGTGTGTGAATGTGTGTACATGTATGTACATACTGTATGTGTGATTTCAGAACATCACTGTAATATGTTTCAGGTATCTGTCTATGCTGCTCCTGAGAAATGGCAGCAGACCCATTATGCTCTGAAGGCTGCAGTCAAACTACTGGAGTTCTATGAGAAATACTTCAACATCAACTACCCACTACCTAAACAAGGTAACTCAAAGGTGCTGATGACCAGGGTTCAATAGCAGTTGGTTAAACAAGTAAGGTAATCATTATGAAGTTGCTGCCTGCCTTTGTCCCCTCCAGACCTGGTTGCTATCCCAGACTTTCAGGCGGGAGCGATGGAGAACTGGGGTCTGATCACCTTCAGAGAGACCAGCCTGCTCTACGACCCTGCCACCTCCTCAGCCTCCGATAGGCTCTGGGTTACCATGGTGATCGCCCATGAGCTCGCCCACCAGGTGAGAGCCGGACAGAAAGTTGTTCAGGGTGTTGAACAGGAAGTAGCAGGTCATGGCAGGAAGTGAACCTTTGGTAGTGTGAAGAGGGATTAGACAGTGATGTCATAAACCTCTGCATTCTTCAGGAAGTTTATCCTCACTGGGAGACTAATGGATCTCCTCTCAGTGAATGGACCTGAATTAAACAACTGGAACAGATCTCTGTCCTCCTCTTCTGTTGACATCTCTCATTGTCTGTCCTCTCCTGCCTGCCTGTTTGTCTGTATGTCAGTGGTTTGGCAACCTGGTGACCATGGAGTGGTGGAATGACATCTGGCTGAACGAGGGCTTCGCCAGATACATGGAGTACATCTCAGTCGACGCCACATACCCCAAACTCAAAGTGGTACGATCCTGTTACTCATATGTTGTACACATCCCTACTCCAACTTCATAGTAGTATTCATGTTTAGTATGAATGTTTCAAATGTCCCTGAGGGATATTCCTGTTGAAAAGGTGCCCTTTTTATCGCTCAGGAGGATTATCTGGTGGACACCTGCTTTGCTGCGATTGGTCGAGACTCTCTTAACTCCTCCCGCCCCATCTCCAGTGCGGCTGAGAGCCCCACACAGATTAAAGAGATGTTCGACACAGTATCCTACAATAAGGTAGACAAAAACACACACACATGCATGCACGCAAACACGCACACACACATATTTTTCTATAACATTGCTTTTACCAACCCTGTCTTTACTTCAAGGGAGGGAGTAAGGATGAATGTCTAAAGTCTTGGATCAGAGCCACAGTGTTAATGTACTGTGGTGTTTGTTCCACTAGGGGGCATGTGTCCTGCACATGCTCAGACACTACCTGACTGACCAAGTGTTCCAGAGTGGAATCGTGCGTTACCTTCGCAGGTACAGCTACAGCAACGCTCACAACCAGGACCTGTGGGACAGCCTGGCCAATGTGCGTAGATCGATCAAATTATATATGTTTTATTGATCCCTCTGTGTAGGATGATTTAGTGTGTAAATGTAAGGTGCTGTGTTGTTCTCAGACATGTTCAGAAGAGGAGTTCACCTCTGGAGAACACTGCTACAGCAGCAGGCAGGCAGCTAAGAACGCAGTAAACACACCTCTCTTTACATAACAGTACATTACATTACAATACCAACAGTCAAGAAAATGTCAAATATGTACTCTGTAAATGTCACACCACTGATATAACAGTGTGATGTTTACCTGTGTGTGTGTGTGTGTTTGTGTGTGTGTGTCAGTACCTGTACGCTGGGGAGCACCTGGACCTGACGACCATGATGAACACCTGGACGCTGCAGACAGGTGTGCCCTTGGTAACGGTCACTAGGCAGGGGTCTCGTCTCCTGCTGAAACAGGAGAGGTTCCTGAGAACCGCACATCCCTCTGATCCAGCATGGCCCAGCCTGCAGCAGGGGTAAACACACACACACACCACAAACACACACACATTCTCTGTGATTCTCATGTGTAGTGAGGTCCTATTCCTTCACCTCATCCCTCCCCTCTCTGATCTCTCTGTGTTAGGTTCCTGTGGCACATCCCTCTGACATACAGGACTGACACCTCAACAAGTATCCACAGACACCTAATGACCACACTCACAGGTAAGACACCTAATGACCACACTCACAGGTAAGACACCTAATGACCACACTCACAGGTAAGACACCTAATGACCACACTCACAGGTAAGACACCTAATGACCACACTCACAGGTAAGACACCTAATGACCACACTCACAGGTAAGACACCTACTGACAACATTCACAGGGAAGATAGTTGCGGTCTCACTCGTCAGTATGGAGGTTAGTGAGGAGTTGATTGATTGACTGGTTGTTTCACTAATTGATTGATTTCTGTGTCTCTCCTCTCCTCAGACAGTGTGGAGGTGGGGGAGGAAGTGGGCTGGGTGAAGGTGAATGTGGATATGGCTGGTTATTACCTGGTCCACTATGATGGTTCAGGCTGGGACGACTTGATACAACTACTGAAGGACAACCACACAGCTCTCAGCTTCATGGACAGAACACACCTCATACACAACGCCTTCCAACTTACCACGTAAGAAACCTACCTGTGTGTGATTGTGTGTGTGTGTTAAAATATGAATAGACAACACAAACAGACTTTTATTTCTGACGTCATCTCGCTATACTATTTCTATAGGGCAGGTCGGCTGTCACTCGATAAAGCCTTGGACCTTATTGGCTACCTGCGATCAGAAAGTCACACCGTGCCCTTACTCCAGGGGTTGGCCTACCTGGAAGCTTTCTACAGGATGGTGGAGAGGAGAGACATACCTGATGTCACACAAAACCTCAGGGTAGGGCACATACACATACATGTGCACACACACATCACACAAACACATAAAACATGAAATAATTCTAAAAACATTCTGGTTCAGTTGCAGAGTTTGAGTGTGTGTCTGGTCTGATGTCCTCTCCATGTGTGGTCTGATGCCCCCTCTGTGTGTGGCCTGATGTCCTCTCCGTGTGTGGTCTGATGTCCTCTCCATGTGTGGTCTGATATCCTCTCCATGTGTGGTCTGATGCCCCCTATGTGTGTGGTCTGATGCCCCCTCCGTGTGTGGTCTGATGTCCTCTCCGTGTGTGGTATGATGTCCTCTCCATGTGTGGTCTGATGCCCCCTCTGTGTGTGGTCTGATGTCCTCTCCGTGTGTGGTCTGATGTCCTCTCCGTGTGTGGTCTGATGTCCTCTTCGTGTGTGGTCTGATGTCCTCTCTGTGTGTGTTTTCCGCAGACGTACATCCTGTGGTATTTCCGTGGTGTGATCGACCGTCAGACGTGGAGCGACAAGGGCTCTGTGTCTGAGAGGCGGCTGAGGTCGGAGCTCCTTTCCCTGGCCTGCCATCTAGGAGACCTCCCCTGTTTGAAGCAGGCCCAGCGCAGCTTCACACACTGGCTGGACTCCAACAACACACTTAAGTATGTCTGTCTGTCTGCCTGCCTGCCTATCTGTCTGTCTGTCAGCTATTTGAGAGAGTGGTTAAATCCCTTGGAGAGTCACATACCTCCTGCAATCCATGACCAATCAAAGGTGCAAACTTTGCCTGACTGCAGAAGTAAACCATGTCCTGTGTGTGCCTCTCCCTCCACCAGCCTGCCTGCAGACGTGGCAGAGACAGTGTATTCAGTAGGGGCCCAGGAGGACACAGGCTGGGCATCTCTCCTCCAGACATACACCCACTCCCTCTCAGAGACACACAAACACAAGATCCTCTCTGCCCTGGCCAGCAGCCGAGACACTAACAAACTAACCAGGTATGTACATTCTTCTATACTCTGTCAATTCAATTCAATATTTGACAATACATTCAGTTTGTATGTGTGTTTCTACCCCAGGTTGTTGGAGCTGGGTCTAGAGGGGGAGGTGATCCGTACCCAGGACTTGGACTCCCTCATCACCATGGTAGCCAGGAACCCCAGTGGACATCATCTGGCCTGGAGCTACGTCCAGAAATACTGGAGCACCCTGGTGGACAAGTAGGTGGTAGAGAGGGAGGGGATAGAGAGAGGGAGAGGGAGGGGGAGGGGGAGGGGGAGGGGAAGGGGAAGAGGGGGAGAGAGAGGTAGAGAGTGAGAGAGGGGGGGGAGAGGTAGAGAGGGAGGGAGGGAGAGAGGTGGCGGGAGAGGAAGAGAAGGAGACTAACACTAAGGAGGAGAAATAGGTGGAGCCTATCCGTGTGGTAGAGAATGAGAGAGGGAAAGGGAGAAAGATGAACTGATAGACTGACACTGATGAAAAAGTAGGTAGTAGTAGGCCAGCAGTCCCATAGCCTGGGGGCTTTAGCCAACCTGTGGTGTTTTGCTCCTGTTTCTACCCTGCAGGTTCCAGTTGGGATCGTTCTCTATTAGAAACATCATCATTGGCACCACAGGCCAGTTCTCCTCCACAGAGGAACTCACTGAGGTGAGATTACTGATCTGTTAGTGGCAATATCATTTGTTTTCAATCACTACACACTGACCCTAGAAATGTAATGTGTCAGTAGCAAAGTTCTGTTTGAGCGAGAGAGGGTGTGTGTGTCCCATAGCCCACGGCCACGCTTACCAGGTGTGTGTTCCCCAGGTGCGTGTTTTCTTTGAGTCGATCCATGAGCAGGCATCTCAGCTGAGAGTGACTCAGGTTGCCATGGACAACATCCAGAAGAACATCCTCTGGCTGCAAAGAAACCTGGGAACTCTGAGGAGCTGGCTGGACCAACGGATAGACTGAAGAGAAAAGGGGGGGGGGGGCTTGCAGTTTTTGAAAGCTTGATTAGAGCTTTGATTATTATTATTTTTTTGATGGATAGTTGTGTGTATATAGTTTGGTCATGATTTTCAGTTTACATCAGGGACTTGGAATTGTTTTTGTTGAATTTGATTAAAATGTTTAATAATAAAGTGTTGTAAAAGTATTATTTGAAGAGCAGTAAGGCCAAGATCATGAGGAGTTACACAGAGTAAGAGAAAATTAAATACAAACAGAAAACCAATTTGTAGGTGTCAATAGTGAATGTAGTAGTGGTCTGAAAAGGCAAAAACATCACAGTCTCTGTATGTGAGACAGAATGAAGCATGGCCACCGTATGGCCTCACACACTACAACCTCACAGCCAATAGAGGGAGGGGACTGCTGAGAATTCAGTATGAAACAGATATGTGTGTAAACATGTTGTACACATATCTATGTTTTTTAAATTTTGCTGAATTTCTGAGTGTTGGTTTAGTTTAGTCAAATAACAGACCTATCGTGCATGCACATTGCTTGAATCAGGGATGGAGGGATGGACGGAGAGGCAATGAGAACCTCAGAATCTCTCCTCTGTTGTCGTGGCAATAGCCTGGAAACCAGTGGATGGCGCTGACCTTGTACTTGTTCTGGAAAAAGCTGTTGGAGAAGTACAGTGCCTTCAGAAAGTGTTTATACCCCTTGATGTATTCCACATTCTGTTGTGTTACAGCCTGAATTAAAAATGGATTAAATATATTTTTTTCTCACCCATCTACACACAATACCCCATAATGACAAAGTGAAAACATGTTTTTAGAAATGTTTGTACATTTATTAAAAATGAAATACAGAAATATTGTTAGAATCATCTTTGGCAGCGATTACAACTGTGAGTCTTTCTGGGTACGCATAAGAACTTTGCACACCTGGATTGTACCATTTTTTAAAAAGGGGGTAGATCAGCTTTAATATTGCAGATAGATTGTGGGTTCTATCAATGTAATTGTTTGCATCATTTCCAATCCCCCATATCTTTTTTATATATTTTCCTTTATTATTTTCCCGTAACCCTACCTCCCCTCCCCTCCCCTAATTGGAGTAAACTAATGGACAACAATACTTAGGCTTCTACTTCCAGCTTATATATACTATATACATTTTACGGACACTGTACACGGTACATTTTACATTAGTTATCTTTGTTTTTTTGTTTTGCTTTTAGCTACCATCAACCACTCCACTCTATCTCTAAAAACCATCCAGTCTTGACTTCTACTTGCCAAATAATTTAACTGTGCTGTGATGTTTCACAAAAGTTCTGAACCTTTCTATTGTCATAGTTTCCACAGATTCTAAATGAAAGATGAACACCTTTACTAAAAGTACTATTATATTATTGATCGACTGGCCATGGCTTTTCAAGTCACCCAGCAGTGCTATTTTACCATAAAACATGTTTTATTCTTCAAGCTCTGTCAAGTTGGTTGTTGATCATCGCTAGACAGGCATTTTCCAGTCTTGACATAGATTTTCAAGCCGATTTAAGTCAAAACTGTAACTCGGCCACTCAGGAACATTCAATGTTGTCTTGGTAAACTACTCCAGTGTATATTTGGCCATGTGTTTTAGGTTATTGTCCTGCTGAAAGATGAATTTGTCTCCCAGTATATGGTGGAAAAAAGACTGAACCCGGTTTTCCTCTAGGATTTTTCCTCTGCTTGGCTCTATTCCGTTTCTTTTAATCCTAAAAAACTCCCTAGTCCTTACCGATGACAAGCATGCCTATAACATGATGCAGCCACCACCATGCTTGAAAATATGAAGAGTGGTACTCAGTGATGTGTTGGATATGCCCCAAACATAACACTCTGTATTCAGGACATAAAGTTAATTTTTTGCCACATTTTTTGCAGTTTTACTTTTGTGCCTTATTGCAAACAGGATGCATGTTTTGGAATAATTTTATTCTGTACAAGCTTCCTTCTTTCACTCTGTCATTTAAGGTTAGTATTGTGGAGTAACTACAATGTTGTTGATCCATTGTCACAGGTGTAGAGAGGAGTGGGCAGGAGGCAGTCGCAGGTTTAGAACTACTGAATTTATTTAAGCACCATAGATCAAAGCGGGACGAAACCCAAACGCTGTTGTGCTCAAAATATATCTTCATAAACAAAAGGCCCAGGGCGAACCCAGCGCAAAATATAAAGTAATCAGGAAATAGTAGGCGAGATTCCTCTCAGGAAAACAAGTAACATAGACAATAACCAACAAAGAGGGAGTATATATACAGTGATAGTGGGGATTGGAACCAGGTGTGTGTAATGATGACGAGACAAGTCCGGGGTTGATGAGTGAAGGGCGTTTGCCAGCAGTAGGTTTGGCAGCAGCTAGAAGGCCGGCGACGCCGAACACCTGAGCTGAAAAGGAGGGGGAGCCAAAGCGAAGGCTGGTGTGACATCCATCTTCAGTTTTCTTCTATCACAGCCATTAAACTCTGTAATTGTTTTAAAGTCACCATTGGCCTTTCTCTCTGGCAACTGAGTTAGGAAGGACGCCTGTATCTTTGTAGTGACTGGGTGTATTGATACACCATCCAAAGTGTAATTAATAATTTCACCATGCTCAAAGGGGTATGTGTGGGGTACAGATGTGAGGTAGTCATTAAAAAATCATCTTAAACAATAATATTGCACACAGAGTAAGTCCATGCAACTTATTATGTGACTTGTTAAGCACATTTTTACTCCTGAACTTATTTAGGCTTGCCATAACAAAGGGGTTGAATACTCAAGATATTTTAGCTTTTCATTTTTTATTAATTTGTAAAAAAGTCTAAAAACATAATTCCACTTTGACATTATGGGGTATTGTGTGTAGGCGAGTGACACAAAATCTCAATTTAATCCATTTTAAATTCAAGCTGTAACACAATAAAATGTGGAAAAAGTAAAGGGGTTTGAATACTTTCTGAAGGCACTGTACAGCTTTCTCACGCTGCTGAAACAAGCACTTCCTGAAATCACACACACACACACACACACACGCAAACACACACACACACACACACACACAAAGACACACACACAACGATTCAGTTCCCTTGGCTCCATTGACCCATAATGATCTTCTTAGCTATTGCACATTTACAGATGCATACCCATGTAATGTTTCTGAAGTGCTGTGACACACTGAAGTGTTGTCAAGAATCCATATCCACATTGAGTAGCTGTCTGTGGTGACTGACTGACTGTTAGCAATCTATTGATAAAGACAGGGACGTAAGTAGCCAAAGCTCAGTCACATGCTGATTGTGGGCCATGGGGACATCGTCCTACTGCATGTGACTCCTGACCTCCTGAATAGTGTGTTTGTGTGTGTGTGTGTGTTGTGTGGTGTGTGTGTGGTGTGGTGTGTGTGTGTGGTGGTGAGAGAGAGAGAGAGAGAGGAGATGAGAGTGAGAGAGGAGGGGAAGAGAGGAGAGGGGAGAGAAGGAGAGAGAGGAGGAGGAGAGAGAGAGAGAGAGAGAGAGAGGAGAGAGAGAGACAGACAGACCAGACAGGAGACAGACAGACAGACAGGACGGGCTCATAGTAATGACTGGAATGGAATCATGAAATGGTATTTAACACATCAAACACATGGTTTCCATTTATGCATAGTCACTTTAACTCTACCCACATGTACATATTACCTCAACTACCTCGACTAGCGGTGCCCCCACACATTGATGCGCACCGGTGGTACCCCCCTGTATATAGCCTCCCTACTGTTATTTTATTTTACTTCTGCTATTTTTTTCTCAACACTTTTTTGTTGTTGTTTTATTTTACATTTTTATTAAAAAATATATTGCATTGTTGGTTAAGGGCTGTTGTATTCGGCGCATGTGGCAAATAACATTTAATCATTCAATTTACTCCATTCCAGCCATTATTATGAGCCACACTATGAGAACGTTTTATTTTTCCTGAGAATTGTGAAAGATGTAGCCTACCGATAACAATATGTGTATGAAGAGGATGTTCCCAATCCAGTACAATAAAATATCGTTGACACGCACACGAACAGGTGGTTGCAAGCAGAATTTCCCAATTTCTAGTTTGTTTTCACAGCAAGTGGTGGGGGGGTCTGTCTTTTTCATTACGAGCCACCACTCTTAGCCCCGCCCTGTCACAGCAGAGACCAATAGAATGCCGGTAAATACATGACAGAAAGCTGTCAACAACTGCCTGGACAGGAAGGGAATGGGAAGCTATCATTGAAATGCATGGCGAACAGTTTGTTGACAGGCTATCGTTCGGACGATTGACCATATTAATTAATTTTATTCCGTAAGATAGTAACTTCACCAACTGTGACTCGTATTTATAGTTCTAATACGACAAAGCATGGAGAGGAAAGTTGTGGCCGCTAGCTAGTGTCAGAAGTTAAATAGCAGCCACGCTAGCTAGCCCACTTAGCCTGTACAGTCACCTGATCTGTAGCTACTGATAGCTAGTAGCATCAGATAGCTAGTCTGTGTGGTGGCGGAGTTTGGCCAGCCGTGGTTCTCTCGCCCTCCAGCGGGGTGTTGTTATCGGTGAAGTGAGGACAGTTCGGCTCGTCCAGATATCTTGTCATGGAGGACCCATTTGACAGTGGTAAGGAATGATTGGCGATGCTCGCGTATCTAACTAACTGCTACCCAGACTTTCTAGCCAGCCACATTCTCTGTAGTAGCTAGCAGTTTAGCTTGTAGTAAGGGGGTTAGCTAACTAGCCGAACGTTTCAAGTCAACAAATGTCAGGCTCTTGATAGCCAGGGAGCAGTTTTGGCAAACGGACTAATCAGCAATATATGCACTTATAATGATGGGTGTGTTATCTGATAGACGCCTGGCCTTTGAGGAACTTCAGCTAAATAGTTGATCTCTGCCCAGGTTCGCCTGAATAAACTGGGAGTCTCTTAGCTAGTTTTTCTAGGTTCTCAGTTTGTCGGTGTGACATTCACTTGGTGACACAAACACATTCCCCAGTCGGGTTGAGGTCAGGGTTGACTTTTGACTCTTGTCAGCTGAGGTGTTATTTATTTAGCTAGCCCATTAAAGGCTAACTAGATACGTATTAACGTTAGCCATCTAAAGAGCAGGAAATGGAAGTCTTATGGCAGCCCAGTTGCAGCTGATAGAAGAGTCTTACTGTTATCTGAGGGAAAATGGGAGCAAAAACTGTTTGATTGAGAAACTGAATTGCGCTGACACCCCATCCTCTTTTTATGTTTATTGGGACATTATTCTTTCCTTATTGTTCAGCCTTGTCCTACACTTTGCGCTACCCAGGAAAGTGAGGAAATCCAACTCAGATTGGCTTACATTTCTGCTAGTCAAAGATGCTAGTTACTCAGGCCAGGCTAGGCCAAACTGTGTGTTAGTGTTATTTACAGTCTGACTGGTGGCTGCTTTAGCTCAGTTAGTTTGTTTATCTGTTGTAAAGGCACATTGAGCTGTTGGAGATTAACCTTGCTCTGTGCAATATTCACACTAGCAACTGCAGGTGACACTCCAGTTGGCCAGAGTTGCCTTTTTTAATTTCCTTTTAACTCACTCAACTGTGTGCTTGGTCAGGCCTGTGCGTTTTGATAGGGCTCCTTTTGTGGGGTGTGTGCTCAATCTGATAAGGACCAGCAGGTTCTTGCTGTAGGTTCAGTAGCACTGTACTCCCCTGCTGTAGCGCTCTGCTGTCTGCTTTATGGCTTTATAGCTTTAGTACCACAAATAAAGGGCTTCTGTCTGTTCAGATTGGAACACACACACACACACACACACACACACACTGGTGGTCAATACAATCCATAATAGTAAATGGAAACACTACTTCTCAATAGACACTGCTATATTTCTCTCGGAGTGCTTTTGCCCAATTGAAACATATTCCAAGTATGTTATTTCATTAGCCTACTTCAATTCAGAATGCACAGGGCATACATGGAAAGCCTAACTGATGGGTGAATCCTGTCCTGGACACTGTGACTGCAGTAGTATGGAACTGAAATACCCAGAGATTATTCCTTGTTCAGCTGACAAAGGTTGTTTTCACTAAAAGGCAGCCCAGAGGAGAGGCCTCTTGTCTGGCCTCATCTGCACTGAGGCCCCAGTTATACCTGGACTATTATGGATTGTATAGACCACCAGAGTGTGTGTGTCTGCCCGGGGTGAGCCTTGTCCCAGCACCACTATGGCCTCGAACTTCAGGTCTGTGTGGCTGTAGCTAAGTCATATAGGCCATAGGGTAAACATTTATGTCTGTGGCTCTGGATCTGTCTTTGTTGTTTGATAAAAACAGGAAGAGTCTGGTGAGCTGCTGCTGACACATTCAGTTTCATTGCTGCATCAGCTGCAATGTTAGACCTTGCTGCATCAGTCTGAGGTGCTCTCATTGTGGTCTTAGTAACAGTTACCACATTTTTAGCACGGTCTCATTTGACACCATAATACTAGTTCTAACATGGTGTGATGGAAAATGTTATGTTGGTGCTTTTCTATTTATACATTTCTGTGTACTATGTTTGTGCTTTTCTAATAACCGTTTTCTGTGTTAATGCAAGTGACTGATTGAATGCCTGGGAGAAGTCCTCACTGTAGTATCTGCAATTTGGTAGTACGCCCAGACCCTTGTTTTGAGAACGAAATCTCAGTTTCAAGGTCTCAGCTAGGAGAGAAAAAGCCTTGTGAGGTATTGGTCTGCCACATGCATGAACCAGTATTGGTCGGTCACATGAATGATGGCAAACGTTAATGATAAATTAATTATGAATAATGAATAAGCTAAATCATGCAAATATGACTTTCTGTGTAAGTATATAAGAGAACTAACGGGACTGCCCCAGGAGAGCTCCTGACAGACGTTCACTATGGTGCGTCAAGTTTGTTGGAACCTCTCCAGTTACCTGATAATAAACAATGATTCATTTAAGATTGACTTCGAGTGTCCCTGTGTAAGAATTTCCACAACAATTTGGCGTCACGAATATGATGATTGATTCTGCCTGCGGAGCTTTCCAGTGGGGGTCTGCGAGGAAAACCGGTGGCACATTTTATGAAGCGTGAGGGACATTCCCTTCTGACAAAAAGACGACGAGACCCGCCCAGACCAGACCCTTACTGTGAGCTGCCCAGGAGGAGAGACATAATCCGCAAACAATTGAGTGACGGCAACTGATTTCAGTAAGTCAATTTTAAATGAATCTGTATAAAAATAAAAATAAAATCAAGGCGAGTAACGCATAAAAAGGTACCCATAGTCTTATAGAGAGAAGACTATTCACTAGTCTTATGAGAAGATTAGAGCGAGGGTGTAACGGTACCATGGAAAGCCCAGCTGAAAGCTGTCTGTAGGCATTTATGGATGCCTGATGAAGACCTAAGGGTTGAAACGTTGTTATAAATAAATATCATCTGGGAGCATGAGCAGCAGTGTGCGGCGTTTTCCTTTCTGTTTTTCATGAATTTGCCTACAACTCCAGCACCTGCGGAAAGTACCTGTATGTGCGTATGTTCTTCAGCTTTTCTGTAGGAAATATCTACTTGGTCTGCAGCCACTACAAATAACACAAGGTGTTTTTGAATACTGGGTGTTATTTATATGTATAGGAAGTAGCGGCAAGAGAACCGTTGAAGATGCAAATGATGCATAGCAAGTAAGGACAAGAGAATCGTTGAAGATGCACATGGGTAGTAAGGGAGATTACCGAGTGAGTTTGGGAATAGTAATAAGTGAATGTGAAAGTTGTGTGATTGTGAGATATGACATATTAAGCTGATTGGAATTTGGATAACAAGATTGAAATATGGATAATAAGCTGATTTGAAAATTGGATAAGAGATTGAAAGTTAGCTATAATGTACTGAGTGAATGAGAGCTGTCAGGGGACTAGCTCCAGTGTGAATGTGAGAAGAGTTTTTTCCATCTATAACGTTATCTAGGTGTTCCGTCCACCACCACAGTCTGGGACAACAAATAATAGCACATGGTGTTATTGGACACTGTTGTTTTATATGTATAGGAAGTAGCGGCCTATAGGCATTTCTGAATTGTTTATGTGATCTGGGACCACTGTCTCTGGGAGGCTAGAACCGTTGAAGATACATATGGTGCATACAGTGGGGAGAACAAGTATTTGATACACTGCTGATTTTGCAGGTTTTCCTACTTACAAAGCATGTAGAGGTCTGTAATTTTTATCATAGGTACACTTCAACTGTGAGAGATGGAATCTAAAACAAAAATCCAGAAATCACATTGTATGATTTTTAAGTAATTAATTTGCATTTTATTGCATGACGTAAGTATTTGATCAGCTACCAACCAGTAAGAATTCCGGCTCTCACAGACCTGTTAGTTTTTCTTTAAGAAGCCCTCCTGTTCTCCACTCATTACCTGTATTAACTGCACCTGTTTGAACTCGTTACCTGTATAAAAGACACCTGTCCACACACTCAATCAAACAGACTCCAACCTCTCCACAATGGCCAAGACCAGAGAGCTGTGTAAGGACATCAGGGATAAAATTGTAGACCTGCACAAGGCTGGGATGGGCTACTGGACAATAGGCAAGCAGCTTGGTGAGAAGGCAACAACTGTTGGCGCAATTATTAGAAAATGGAAGAAGTTCAAGATGACGGTCAATCACCGCCTATCGATCTACAGGTTGTGAGCACTGACAGGAGAAGCCATTGAAAGATTTGAGAGGGTAACAGCCCCCGGACACTGATTTCCTCGATATGAAAGATATGTGTACCTCTCGGGCTGCTGTGCTGTGATCGTTGCTGCGGTGAGGAGGTGAAAACCTAAAGATTTATAACGTTATAAAGGGATTCTGTATGGAGATATGAAAGAAGAGAATATTATTCCTGAATATGCTGTTAAATAGAACAACTAGTGTGGTCCTCTGTAGCTCAGCTGGTAGAGCATGGCGCTTGTAACGCCAAGGTAGTGGGTTCGATCCCCGGGACCACCCATACACAAAAAATGTATGCACGCATTACTGTAAGTCGCTTTGGATAAAAGCGTCTGCTAAATGGCATATTATTATTTATTATTAAATATCTAAACCCCTCTATGAATAGAACACTAGTCTAAAGGAGGAATTGGTGAAGAAAAGTATACTGGGTTACTAGAGATGATAAAGTAACAATGGAGAAAATATAAATTATAATCATATACAACTTGCACACCCACACGTGGATGTACGTAAGTGGTGTAAAAAGTATTCAGTGCTCCCTTTATGGATCATTTAATAAAGGTAAGGTTAGAGCATTGTACGAGACTTGACTTACCCCTAACCAATACAACTATAAACAATGATTCATTTAAGATTGACTTTGAGTGTCCCTGTGTAAGTATTTCCACGACAATGGCATAATGTCTTTCTGGTCGGTGTAAGTCAGAAGAATCTGGAAAGGTTGCTATGGTTCTTATTTTGATCTGGGTTTATTAAATATTTGCCAGCAGCATACCAACCTGCAACCCACTGCTGGCTAGCCTCTGAAGCTAAGCAGGGTTGGTCCCGGTCAGTCCCTGGATGGGAGACCAGATCCTGCTGGAAGTGTTGTTGGAGACCCAGTAGGAGGCACTCTTTCCTCTGGTCTAAAATAAAATATCCCAATGTCCCAGGGCAGTGATTGGGGACATTGCCCTGTGTAGTGGTGCAGTCTTTCAGATGGGACATTAAATGGGTGTCCTGACTCTCTGTGGTCACTAAAGATTCCATGGCAGTTATCGTAAGAGTAGGGGTGTTAACCCTGGTCTCCTGGCTAAATTCCCAATCTGGCCCTCATACCATCATGGCCACCTAATCATCCCCAGTTTCCAATTGGCTCATTGATCCCCCCTCCTCTCCCCTGTAACTATTCCCCAGGTTGTTGCTGTAGATGATAGTGTGTTCTCAGTCAACATACCTGGTAAAATAAATAAATAATATTCAGCTCCGTATCTAGGCCTATTAATAGGTGCAGGACTCGCTGCAGACCTCAGGACTAGATCTACTACAGGAAGGGATAAACGCCAATGGCTTCAGTTAGCTTTCTCCTATTCACTCAGTCTAGGCAGCTGGGCCCTACCAACACGTATGCATGTTCTCACACAATGGAACACGCACTATAGAAGGTACTAGGTGTATGAGATGGCTTTGTTTAGTGTCGTCATTGGTTATGATGATACTGGCTAGCTATTCACTTACGCGCAACACCCGCTATTCACTGACACAGACTGGGACTTCAGGATACTAGTTGTGTGTGCGCTTTGTTTGGGCCCAGCCCTGAATTCACCCACCATTGAATCAGAACACACATAGGGGCTCAGTCCCTCTGCACGGTTTTATTACAGGAGAAAATGGGACCCTTTACAAAGAGGCACAATGGGACATTTTTTACAGTTTGACTACTGTTGTAATTATTATTGAATTAAATAGTTGACCATTTCTCTGTTTGTCTGAGGAGACACTGGGGAGAATCAATAGAAAGGGAGCTCCACGCACACATGCACATTTTATTGAACGCCTCTGTGTGTGTATTAACCTTTTGTTTGCTTGTGTGTGTAACCAGAGCGGGCATCCCTGCCCAGGCACATGATAGAGAACAGTATGTTTGAGGAGGAACCTGACGTGGTGGACCTGGCCAAAGACTCTACAGCCTTCCCGGTAATTACATACTATACAACACTGACATTAATCCATCCCCTCATCAATATTCCCTTTTCTTCTAACTGTTTATGTTTTTCCAGATTTTCATATCTTGCGTTCTCTCTCTTTTATTTTCTCTCTCTTTCTTCTCCCCTCTCTCTTTTTTCCACCTCCCTCCTCCAGGAGTTCCCAGCGTTGGACCCAGATGAGGTGGTGTACGAGCCCCGTAGCTCCCGTCTCCTGGTGCGAGGTCTGGGAGAAAACGACCTGGACGATGAGGAGGAGGACTATGAGTCATCAGCCCGCTTACTGGGCATGTCCTTCATGAACAGAAGCTCCGCCCGCAGTCCTAGCGCCTCCCCTTACATCAGACAGGCTCCACCCAGGTCCTTTTTTACTTTGAAAATCGCAACAAACTTTATTTAAAGTGCATTTAAATATGACAGACACTTTACAGTAAAATAGAAACAATGAAAGAAACAATACTAAAGATAAATATTTATAGATGAATAAATACTGTTTGTTTTTTGGCCAGGTCGTGTTCCCGCCCCTCGGCTCGTATGCTGGTGGTGGGCGTGTTCATCTTGGTACTGGTCACGTCCATGGCGATGGTTCTCTACTTCCTGCCTGGCTGTACCTTCACTAAGGTAGCTGTGTGTGTGTGTGTTGGAGTGTTGTGTGTGTGTGCTTGCGTTTGTGTGAGTGAAGAGTGTGCGGCTCCTGCATCGGCTTCCACAGCTACGGGAAGTGGCACCAGCCAGTGCCAAAAAGTGTGTGTGTGTGTATTCACTGTGTTGATCCTCACTCTCCCCAGGCTGGCTGTCCTAAGGCTAACTCCTCCACTCCTATGGAGCTGGTCTATCCCTAACAGCACCAATGGGGAGCTGTTTCCTTGGAATGAGCTCCGCCTCCCAGCCAGTGTACGGCCTGTAAACTACGACCTTTCCCTGACCCCTAACCTGACTTCCATGACCTTCACCGGCCGCACCATCATCAACATGATTATACAACACGACACCAAGCGCATCGTTCTGCACAGCTCCGAGCTCAATATCATCAAGGCAACCTTTCAGGTAGCCAATGATCAGCTGTAGCATTTCTATTTAATCAGAAATAGTAATATTATCTGGTTAGAGTCCAGGCTCTGTCGCAGCCGGCCGCGACCGGGAGACCCATGGGCGGCGCAATATTGGCCTAGCGTCGTCCAGGGTAGGGGAGGGTTTGGCCGGCAGGGATGTTCTTGTCCCATCGCGCACTAGCGACTCCTGTGGCGGGCTGGGCGCAGTGCACGCTGACTCGGTCGCCAGGTGTACGGCGTTTCCTCCGACACATTGGTGCGGCTGGCTTCCGGGTTAAGCGGGCACTGTGTCAAGAAGCAGTGCGGCTCGGTTGGGTTGTGTTTCGGAGGACGCACGACTCTCGACCTTCGCCTCTCCCGCATCCGTACGGGAGTTGCAGCAATGGGACAAGACTGTAACTACCAATTGGATATCACGAAATTGGGGAGAAAAAGGGGGTAAAATACCCCCTCCCCAAAAAAAGACAAATAAAAAGAAATAGTTATATTATTGAAGACATAAGTCTGTATAGGTTTAGACTTTTAACTGTTATTATTCGTAGGTAACTTCCTTACTTGCAGTGTGAAGAGAGTAAGAGTTGTTTTCCCTGAGGAGATCAATTATGTTTTACTTAGCTTAATTATGTTTCCCTTGCTAAATAATGTTTTTACCTAGTTAGATTATGTTTCACCTTGTTAAATATTGTTTTTACTGTAACCCTTCCAGGTTGGAGAGGGTAAGAGTGTTGAGGTGAAGGTGTTGGAGTATAAGCCATGGCAGCAGATAGCTGTCAGCTTCCCAGAGGATCTGAAGGCAGGCCAGGTGTGTGTGTTAACATTGGACTACGCAGCTAACCTTTCACACACCTATGACGGCTTGTACAACAGCTCCTACAATGACAAGACTGGAGCCAAGAGGTATGTAAAACACTCTAAAAACTATTTACTAAAGTTTGCTCTAAAAATAACAACCTAACTTGCCGTGAATGCAGTGAGACACATTCTTTAACAGTGTGAAAACTTGACAGTGTTTGTTGACATGTAGTAAACTATAAGCCTAGTCCTTGCTCTCTGTGACTGTGAGTCATTCTATCCACCCCTCAGGGTCCTAGCTGCCACCCAGTTTGAGCCCCAGGCAGCCAGGAAGGCCTTCCCCTGTTTTGACGAGCCGGCTTTTAAAGCCACCTTCCTGGTCAGGATCACCAGAGAACCTGAATACATCACTCTGTCCAACATGCCCAAGGTACACTGTGTGTGTGTGTGAACATGCCCTCGTGAGTTTGCGTACGCCTGTGTATTTTAAGTTGTAAATATACATCAATACATTACGAAATGTATTGACATCAAGTGATTATTGGAGATGCTTGACATGAAGAATACCAGTGTGTAAACCATCTGTTAATGAAACTGTATGCACTAACTACTGTAAGTCGATCTGGTTAAGAGCGTCTGCTAAATGACTAAAATATAAATGTTATATAACTGTTGTGTTTCCCAGGCTAAGACGACTACATTACCCAGCGGCCTGCTGGAGGATGAGTTTGAGCAGACTAGTGTTAATATGAGCACCTACCTGGTAGCCTTCATCGTAGCCAACTTCACCAGCGTCTCTAGAAACGTCTCCAAAACACTGGTACGTACAGAGTCCCTGTCTCAATCTATTCACACTAGTTCTATGGCCTGCAACACACTAGAATGCAACTCTGTCTAACCCCCCATTTTTGGTTCTATTGTATTTATTCAATTTCTGTGGTGTGTGTTGCAGGTGTCAGTGTACTCTGTGCCAGAGAAGAAGGAACACACACACTATGCTCTGGACACTGCCTCCAGGTTGCTGCAGTTCTACAACACCTTATTTGAAATCGACTACCCTCTGAGAAAACTGGGTGAGAGGAGACACAGAAACACACAGACAGACAGACACTCAGCCCTCACACAATTAACTCAACTGATGAACACCTTTTACATCTAGTATGAATGCCAGAAGATTCTTTAAAAAATGTGCGCGGGAAAAGTATAATGTTTTCAATAATGTGACACAAAATACGCATTGGTATTTACCCCTCCACATTTCTGTCCCTCTCTCTCTCTCTACCCTTCCTCCCGGCTCTCTCCCCCTCCTCCAGACCTGGTTGCCATCCCAGACTTCCTGGCGGGAGCGATGGAGAACTGGGGTCTGATCACCTTCAGAGAGACTAGCCTTTTGGTACGAAACCAGTCCTCTTCTCTCGACAAACAACTCATCGCTAACGTCGTAGCCCACGAACTCGCTCACCAGGTGTGTGTGTGGACGATAACACTGTGATGGAACATATGTGTATGTACCTCATCAGTCGTAATGCTGTGTTGACGTTTGGTTAAGAAGTGCTGTTGTTCTTATGCAGTTGCTTTAACAATGTCTAATGCTCCTATGATACTGTTATAAAGCTGTCGTAACACTGTTCTAATGCTGTTTTGTGTCAGTGGTTTGGGAACCTGGTGACGATGCGTTGGTGGAATGACCTGTGGCTGAACGAAGGCTTCGCCACCTACTGGCAGTACACGTCTCTAATGACAGAGTTCCCACAGCTATACCTAGTAAGTAGTAGCATGTCACACACGCATAAAAGTGCTGTGCAAGGGGTCAATGTAGATTTAAGATGATCGTGGTAGAATGACCTCTCTTCTGTCTCCAGGACAATGTGTTCCTGGAAGAGCGGTTCAAGGCAATGGCCAAAGATTCTCTGAACTCCTCCCACCCAGTCTCAGTATCGGCCCAGGTGACCACACCTGAACAGGTGTCTGAGATGTTTGACTCTATCACCTATGAGAAGGTACAGTCTTCGGCTTTACTTACAACTTAATTGATTAGTAGAGTGAACAATATACAATGAGGGAAAAAAGTATTTGATCCCCTGCTGATTTTGTATGTTTGCCCACTGACAAAGACATGATCAGTCTCATTTTAATTGTAGGTTTATTTGAACAGTGAGAGACAGAATTACAACAAAAAAATCCAGAAAAACGCATGTCAAAAATGTTATAAATTGATTTGCATTTTAATGAGGGAAATAAGTATTTAACCCCTCTGCAAAACATGACTTAGTACTTGGTGGCAAATCCCTTGTTGGCAATCACAGAGGTCAGACGTTTCTTGTAGTTGGCCACCAGGTTTGCACACATCTCAGGAGGGATTTTGTCCCACTCCTCTTTGCAGATCTTCTCCAAGTCATTAAGGTTTCGAGCCTGACGTTTGGCAACTCAAACCTTCAGCTCCCTCCACAGATGTTCTATGGGATTAAGGTCTGGAGACTGGCTAGGCCACTCCAGGACCTTAATGTGCTTCTTCTTGAGCCACTCCTTTGTTGCCTTGGCCGTGTGTTTTGGGTCATTGTCATGCTGGAATACCCATCCACGACCCATTTTCAATGCCCTGGCTGAGGGAAGATTTGACGGTAGATGGCGCCGTCCATTGTCCCTTTGATGCGGTGAAGTTGTCCTGTCCACTTAGCAGAAAAACACCCCCAAAGCATAATGTTTCCACCTCCATGTTTGACGGTGGGGATGGTGTTCTTGGGGTCATAGGCAGCATTCCTCCACCTCCAAACATGGCGAGTTGAGTTGATGCCAAAGAGCTCCATTTTGGTCTCATCTGACCACAACACTTTCACCCTGTTCTCCTCTGAATCATTCAGATGTTCATTGGCAAACTTCAAACGGGCCTGTATATGTGCTTTCTTGTTCTGGGCTGATTCCTCACCGTTCTCATTATCATTGCAACTCCACGAGGTGAGATCTTGCATGGAGCCCCAGGCCGAAGGAGATTGACAGTTTTTTTGTGATTCTTCCATTTGCGAATAATCGCACCAACTGTTGTCACCTTCTCACAAAGCTGCTTTGCAATGGTCTTGTAGCCCATTCCAGCCTTGTGTAGGTCTACAATCTTGTCCCTGACATCCTTGGATAGCTCTTTGGTCTTGGTCATGGTGGAGAGTTTGGAATCTGATTGATTGATTGCTTCTGTGGACAGGTGTCTTTTTATACAGGTAACAAACTGAGATTAGTAGCACTCCCTTTAAGAATGTGCTCCTAATCTCAGCTCGTTACCTGTATAAAAGACACCTGGGAGCCAGAAATCTTTCTGATTGAGAGGGGGTCAAATACTTATTTCCCTCATTAAAATGCAAATCAATTTATAACATTTTTGACATGCGTTTTTCTGGATTTTTTTAGTTGTTATTCTGTCTCTCACTGTTCAAATAAACCTACCATTAAAATTATAGACTGATCATTTCTTTGTCAGTGGGCAAACGTACAAAATCAGCAGGGGATCAAATACTTTTTTCCCTCACTGTAGAATCCTATGGTCACAGCAGTGATGTGTGTGTGTGTGTGTGTGTGTGTGTGTGTGTGTCTCTAGGGTGCGTCCCTCCTGCTGATGTTGAGCTCCACTCTGCCAGACGGTCAGTTCAGGAAAGGACTCATCAACTACCTGAATAAATACAACGGATCTAACACTGTTACTGATGACCTCTGGAACAGCATCACACAGGTAGGTGTAGTCTGTCTGAGACACCCTGTCTCTTACATTCATCTCTGTTTCCTGATTAGTTATTTTCACGGGTTCTTTATTTTGCGTCTGCAAAATCTGGCGTCACACCCTTCCCCTTTTCACAACATCACCCTGTCTGTGTATTGTGTGGAGGTGTCTTGTCTATTGGATTAGTACTATTGATGGTGATGATGCTCCATCTTTCTCTGGCCCAATGTGATGAGTAGGAATATTAGTAGTAGGGCTGTCCCCGACTAAAATAAATCTTGGTTGACCGAGAGTCGTCTGTTCTTTCAACCAAACGATTGGTAGATATTTTTAAACGTGTATTTTTCCATATACAGTGGGGAGAACAAGTATTTGATACACTGCCGATTTTGCAGGTTTTCCTACTTACAAAGCATGTAGAGGTCAAATTTTTTATCATAGGTACACTTCAACTGTGAGAGACGGAATCTAAAACAAAAATCCAGAAAATCACATTGTATGATTTTTAAGTAATTAATTAGCATTTTATTGCATGACATAAGTATTTGATACATCAGAAAATCAGAACTTAATATTTGGTACAGAAACCTTTGTTTGCAATTACAGAGATCATACGTTTCCTGTAGGTGTTGAACAGGTTTGCACACACTGCAGAAGGGATTTTGGCCCACTCCTCCATACAGACCTTCTCCAGATCCTTCAGGTTTCGGGGCTGTCGCTGGGCAATACGGACTTTCAGCTCCCTCCAAAGATTTTCTATTGGGTTCAGGTCTGGAGACTGGCTAGGCCACTCCAGGACCTTGAGATGCATCTTACGGAGCCACTGCTTAGTTGCCCTGGCTGTGTGTTTTGAGTCGTTGTCATGCTGGAAGACCCAGCCACGACCCATCTTCAATGCTCTTACTGAGGGAAGGAGGTTGTTGGCCAAGATCTCGCGATACATGGCCCCATCCATCCTCCCCTCAATACGGTGCAGTCATCCTGTCCCCTTTGCAGAAAAGCATCCCCAAAGAATGATGTTTCCACCTCCATGCTTCACGGTTGGGATGGTGTTCTTGGGGTTGTACTCATCCTTCTTCTTCCTCCAAACACGGCGAGTGGAGTTTAGACCAAAAAGCTCTATTTTTGTCTCATCAGACCACATGACCTTCTCCCATTCCTCCTCTGGATCATCCAGATGGTCATTGGCAAACTTCAGACGGGCCTGGACATGCGCGGCTTGAGCAGGGGGACCTTGCGTGCGCTGCAGGATTTTAATCCATGACGGCGTAGTGTTACACTAATGGTTTTCTTTGAGACTGTGGTCCCAGCTCTCTTCAGGTCATTGACCAGGTCCTGCCGTGTAGTTCTGGGCTGATCCCTTACCTTCCTCATGATCATTGATGCCCCACGAGGTGAGCTCTTGCATGGAGCCCCAGACCGAGGGTGATTGACCGTCATCTTGAACTTCTTCCATTTTCTAATAATTGCGCCAACAGTTGTTGCCTTCTCACCAAGCTGCTTGCCTATTGTCCTGTAGCCCATCCCAGCCTTGTGCAGGTCTACAATTTTACCCCTGATGTCCTTACACAGCTCTCTGGTCTTGGCCATTGTGGAGAGGTTGGAGTCTGTTTGATTGAGTGTGTGGACAGGTGTCTTTTATACAGGTAACGAGTTCAAACAGGTGCAGTTAATACAGGTAATGAGTGGAGAACAGGAGGGCTTCTTAAAGAAAAACTAACATGTCTGTGAGAGCTGGAATTCTTACTGGTTGGTAGGTGATCAAATACTTATGTCATGCAATAAAATGCAAATGAATTACTTAAAAATCATACAATGTAATTTTCTGGATTTTTGTTTTAGATTCTGTCTCTCACAGTTGATGTGTACCTATGATAAAAATTACAGACCTCTACATGCTTTGTAAGTAGGAAAACCTGCAAAATCAGCAGTGTATCAAATACTTGTTCTCCCCACTGTATATGTAGACTACTGAGCTTGTCTGATGCTTTAAGCACTGCGATTAAAAATTAAGACACAAAGAACTAAAGAGGAAGCCAGAGATCAATAAAGCCTAACCAGAATAAAAATAAACTGCTCCCGATACGACCCTCCTCCTCCCGCTGCCTGCTGCTGCTGGCCTTCGCAGATTCTGCCGTTACGCTACTTAAGTTGCCGGTAATAGGCTACACCAGCAGTCGGCAACCTTTTCCATTTGGAGTGCCAAGTTATCGTACCATTTCTACTGATCTGCGTGCCAGTTATATGATTTTCATATGCAAAAATCTATGTAAATGAAAATGATACAAATCTAAAAGTAACTTATATTGCCATTGCCACTATCTACAAATATCCTACATAAAGCCAACAAATAAAAACATTGCAGCTCGCAGGTAGAAAATATCCTGATAAAAATAAATATCCTATAAATCACAATGGCTATGCATGGCCTGTCTGCAAGGAACTTGAAACATTGTGTCCGCTATTAACTTGGTCTGGCCCTGAAGCTCGTGCTAGCAAACTTGCAACATTGTATAAAATATTCTGGGCCCTCAGTGCCAGTGAGCTCCAGAAAGACAGCCACAGCTGTAGGCTATTTTTGCAAGGGATAAGAAGGGATAAGAAGTAATCAGGTAGGCTTTTTTTTATGACATTTCCACCGGATCAAAGCATGATTATTTTTTTACGCCTTTCATGCTAAGTGGTTATCGAAAGGGAGAGAGCTGGGAAGATTTTTCAAATAGGCTACGTTGAGGAACTATTGTCATTCTCAATGGATGTAAAAACAGACTTTGTTTACTTGCTGTAAAAAAAAATATTTGAGAGGCTCCACAGTGATGGTGAGTTAAGACAATCAGAAATAGTATCAGATCCCCAACTGGGCACATTTATAAGCCTACGTTTGCGCGTAGGCCCGGTAGCCTAGACCTACTTCTTCTATGTGTAGTCAGGTGCGTGTCCATACTCAAGATTGACAGGAGCGCTCCATACAAAAGACAATTAATAAATTGACAACTCGTAAATGGAATGAAATAAACCAAAACTGTGTAGCCCAGGTTGTGCGCTTTACAAACGTGTCCACTCCTACAATGCCAACGGTAAGACTGTAATAATAATATATTGAATGCATTAACAGAAATTACTGTAACCAAACAAACATTGTAGATTCAAAATTATGGTAATTAAGGATAAATGTACTACTGGTGATACTGGTGTGCCTCCGCAATGGATTAGTCCACTCAGAGAGGCGTGAATCACACAGTCTTGTGTGTCATATATATATATATTTTTATATACACTACATGTATGTGGACACCTACTCATCGAACATCTCATTCCAAAATCATGGGCATTAATATGGAGTTGGTCCCCCCTTTGCTGCTATAACAGCCTCCGCTGTTCTGGGAAGGGTTTCCAATAGATGTTGGAACATTGCTGCGGGGACTTGCTTCCTGAGGCCAAGGCACTGATGTTGGGTGATTAGGCTTGGCTCACAGTCGGCGTTCCAATTCATCCCAAAGGTGTTCGATGGGGTTGAGGTTAGGGCTCTGTGCAGCCCAGTCAAGTTCTTCCACACCGATCACCGATCTCGACAAACCATTTCTATAATCTGTATGGACCTCGCTTTGTACACGGTGGCATTGTCATGCTGAAACAGGAAAGGGCCTTGCCCAAACTGTTGCCACAAATTTGGAAGCACTAGAATGTAATTGTATGCTGTAGTATTAAGATTTCCCTTCACTGGAACTAAGGGGCCTAGTCCGAACCATGAAAAATAGCCCCAGACCATTATTCCTCCTCCACCAAAATGTACGGTTGGCACTATGCATTCGGGCAGGTAGCGTTCTCCTGGCACCTGCCAAACCCAAAACCATCATTCCAGAGAATGCATTTCCACTGCTCCAGAGTCCAATGGAGGCGAGCTTTACACCACTCCAGCCGATGCTTGGCATTGCACATGGTGATTTTAGGCTTGTGTGCGGCTGCTCGGCCATGGAAACCCATCTCATGAAGCTCCCGACGAACAGTTCTTGTGCTGACATTGCTTCCAGAGGCAGTTTGGAACTCGGTAGTGAGTGTTGCAACCGAAGACAGACGATTTTTATGCGCTTCAGCACTCGGCGGTCCCGTTCTGTGAGCTTGTGTGGCCTACCACTTCGCGGCTGAGCCGTTGTTGTTCCTAGATGTTTCCAATTCACAATAACAGCACTTCCAGTTGACCGGGGCAGCTCTAGCAGGGCAGACATTTGACGAATTTACTTGTTGGAAAGGTGGCATCCTATGACGGTGCCGCGTTGAAAGTCACTAAGCTCTTCAGTAAGGCCATTCTACTGCCAATGTTTGTCTATGGAGATTGCATGACTGTGTGCTCGATTTTTACACACCTGTCAGCAACGGGTTTAGCTGAAATAGACGAATCCACTAATTTGAAGGGGTGTCCACATACTTTTGTATATATAATGTATTTGCCACTGCTCAACTAAAAAAATCTCGGTCGTCCAACAGCCTATTGACCAAACAATCGACCAGTTGATGAAATGGTGTCAGCCCTAATTAGTAGACGTATTTGTTAAATGTATCATTGATTATTGATGATTATTGGTTCTGGATGTGCCAGGCCCAAGTGCTTCCCCAGCAGGAGAGTGTGTCAGACATGATGAGAACATGGACGCTGCAGAAAGGCTTCCCATTGGTCACCGTCAGCCGCAAGGGTGGTGAGGTGACCCTCACACAGGAACCCTTCTTGCTCTCCGCAGACAACGCCACATACACCTCCAGGTGAGATGCACGCACGCACGCACGCACACGAGCACACACACAAACAAACACACCAACCTTTTTTTTGTGTCCTCAGCCTGTGGCACATCCCAGTGACGTACGTGAATGACAGCTGTAGCTCCGCCCCTTCCTGCAGACAGATGTTCACTCTGAGGAATAAGACCGGTATAACACAGACAACGTCTGTACATTCAGCTGGGTAGCTGTCTGTTAGTTTGATTGTTTTGCATTGTCTAGTTCATTTGTCAGGCTTGTGATACATTTATAGTAGGTAGTGATTTTTTGGCCTGCTGGTTGTATGCTCTGAGGTAAGAGCATGATCATGTGTTTGAGTGCATTGTTCTGTGTTTCCCTCTTAGCGACTCTGAAGGTGTCAGAGAGTGTTAAGTGGCTGAAGTTGAACTACATGAACACAGGCTTCTATATAGTTCACTATGGAGACGAGGGCTGGGCAGCTCTCATAGACGCTCTAAAGACTGACGTCAACACACTCACACCCCACGACCGCGCTTCGCTCATACACAACATCTTCTCCCTGTCCAGGTCAGTGTTTGTGTTTGTACTGTGGCATGGTACTCAATGGACGGGATTTCATTATATTTTTTTAAGTGGCCGTTGCTGTAGAAAAATAATGTGTTCTCAGTCAACCTACCTGGTAAAATAAGGGGTCTTAAATAGATTAATTGGAGGCCTGTCTTAATACTCTGCCTGAACTTGGACGATTACTTGAACATGTCTATATGTTAGATGTTTTGGATGCTCAACTGAACAGACAACGGACACAAATAGACTAAATTGATTAGGATCTGTTATCTATTCATTTTCTTCTCTTCCTGTCATCAGGCTGGGTCATGTGTCCTTCCGTCAGGTTCTCAGTCTGTTGGACTATACTACCAATGAGACTGAGACTGCTCCTCTGACAGAGGCCCTATCACAGCTCAGCTCTGTCTACAGACTACTGGACAAGAGACAGGAGCTAGGACTGGTGGCCCGCATGAAGGTACACACACACACACACACACACACACTCTAGATTGTCAGGTACCTTGTTCTGGGGCCTAGTCCCACCAGTTGGGACAAACTGACTGTGCTAACCTTCTCTTTGTAATGTGTGTTCCAGGCCTACATCTTGGGTCATTTTGGCCCTCTGATGGACAGTCAGGACTGGGGAGAGCAGGAGAGTGTCTCCAGTCAGGAGCTGAGGTCAGCCTTGCTAGAGATGGCATGTAGTCTTGGACGGCAGAACTGTACTGACCAGGCCACGGCCCTCTACAAACAGTGGACCAACTCAAACCAAACCAATCGGTACACACAGGGACTGACTGAAAATTGTTCAAACAATGGAGTAAAACAGGATAATATTTTGGGTTCTGATGGGGTAGGACAGTTGAACTACGCTCATGAGGCATTTATAAGTTATATTCTTCAATAATCAATGGGCATATATAATTAATATAGAAGTTCAAAAATGGATGTGTCTATCGTAGATTGCCCCTTTATGGATATAAACAAGGCTTGCTCATTTAAAAAATATATACTTTTTGATATTTTGGCCGCCATTGTCTTCATCAGAAATGAGTAAAGCTAGTGATCTGTTCTATAGTGATCTTATGGTGATCTAGTGATGTGTTGTCTCTTCCAGCATCCCAGGTGATCTTCAGAGAGTGGTGTTCTCTGTAGCAGCCCTGTCTGACTCTGGTTGGCTGTCTCTGCTGGACACCTACAAACACACCATTGACGACTCTGAGAAACGCAAGATACTGCAGGCCCTCGCCTCCACACAGGACCCACGACGCATCGTATGGTGAGGGAGACCGTGTGTGTGTGTGGGGGGGAGGGGACCATTGGTAGAGGTCTTCACGGATCCACCTGTACCCGAATGGGTCGGATCTGATATGATTGTCTCAGGTATGTGTACTTTTAACTGACCTGTCCGGAAGAGCCCATACAGATCCTAACACGACTGCTGCAGTAGAGAGAGAGAGACATTTTATCATTTATGCTGCTGCTCTTTGCTTTTCACAAGAGTGGCGCATGTAGCTTGTTGTTGGCCAATCATGTCATCAAATCGGCAATAGGCTACAGTCAGAGCCTCCGTGTGGGGCAAAAGTTAGGAGATATGTAATCAATGGAAGATGGAATTAAAATGATGGCATGGAAAGTTAAAGGAGAAGGATGAGCTACAACAACCAAGAGCCAACAGGTAGGCTGCTACTTTATATTCTGAATGGAGTTGTTGTTGTTTGTAACTGTGTAGGACGAGAACGCGCATGCAGCTTCAATTAGCCTAGATGGCTAGTTAACTAGCTTCTCCTGGTTTGATGCAGGACAGGTACTACGTAATCATATTAGATTATAAATAACCTAGCTACAGTATGGCAGCTATTAGTCTACTATAGCACGAGTCGGCTTGGTTGGTTGATGTCTCACCCTCCCTGTTCCCTGTGTCACTCGCACAGCACGGCCCCTGCTAGAGCGTCACCTCTCTCTACCTCCTGTCCATCGCGCTTTATCACCTCCGGTTAATAAAGTAGCTTAAAAATTGACTTTTCTGCTGCTTCCCACACTCGGATCGGATCGGACCGGGTCTGGATCCGACCAGGTCTATATGGAACAGGTCTAGTTGTCCTCGGGTCCGTTCGGAACGTGTCTCTAGATTTAAAACAATAATTCATGCATATTGGGTCCGGATGGGAATGCTCCAGGTCCATTTCGGAACGAAAGGGTACTTTATCAATCAATATACAGACAATTAACTGGCCAACTAAACCTCTACCCAGAGGTTGTGCGGAGAGTCGTGCTGTAATTAAGCTGTACTCAAGCTGTGCTAAAGCTGTGCCCAGATATGTTTGTAGCAGCCTGTGGTGTGTGTCTCTGCAACACTCTAAAAACCTCCTCCTCCAGGATTCTGAGTGAGGGGCTCGAGGGAGGGATTATCCATACACAGGAGCTGCCATTGGTCATCAGCACTGTGAGCGACCGCTTCGCTGGCCACTTGTTCGTCTGGGACTTTGTCAAAGAGAGCTGGGACAGGATCATAGAGAAGTGAGTGCCTCTAAAGAATAAGATGAATTATAAGTTTACATACTTACATCGTCAACATACAGAAAAATGGACACAAAAACAATACAGTCTCCCGATCAGAATCTATGGGCCTGTTTTGATTGCATGATGTGGAGATGTGGCCTGTTTGGATTGGCTGTTGTGGAGATGTGGCCTGTTTTGATTGGCTGTATCTGTGTGTGTGTGTGTGTGTGTAGGTTTCCAGTGGGGTCCTATCCCATCCAGAGCATCATCAAGTCCACCACCTCCCAGTTCTCCACTCAGACACACCTGGAGGAGGTGAGCTTACACCTCAGAACCATGCCGACTGTATATCATGTGTCTGTGTATCAGATGCGTAGTGTGTGTATGTGTCCTCTTCTCTCATGTCAACTGTCTGTGTAGGTCCAGGGTTTCTTCTCCAGACTGAAGGAGCGGGGGTCTCAGATGTGTAGTGTCCAGGAGGCTTTAGAGACCATCAGACTGAACCAGCACTGGATGGACAGGAACCTCGCAACACTCAGACAATGGCTCTAACAAGGCCGCTTGGCAACTGTCGCCCCCGGCAACCCGCTCTGGGGACCGTGTTGGCATGGCAACAGCAATGTTTGCACTATCGTAGGGCTTGTCTCAAATGACCTCCTATTCCCCTTTTGTTACTTTTTTTTCAACTACTTTTCGATAGGGATGGGCACGGTTAAACCAATATCCGGATATACGGACAGATGATAGTATTCGATTACTTGAGTGTTCATTTTTAGAAGAATCAAAATTGGAGGCCTATTTTAGCAATGGAAAAAGCTTTGTCTAAAATAAATTATGCAAGGCAACAGTAAACATGTTGTCCCCCACAAATGATGCATCATTCTAAATGGCGGAAAATCCATCATGGCTGACCTTATGGGTCCCTGAGGCAAATGTGTTCGTTTTGAGAAGAGGAACCTCTGTACCGAATGTCATGGGATTTTTTAGGTCAAACGGGGTGAGGGGCGTGACCTTTCAATGTTTGCATTTTCAATCTCTTGTTATAGCGCCACCATCTGGCCAATCAGTGTAATTTTGTAAATGCTGGATCTCTATGGCAATACGCATTATTCACCCAAGTTTCTTCAATCGGGCCAGTGCTATCTGAAATATTGCACGTAACGAACGTACGTACGACAGATCCACAGTCCCCTCTCCAATTTCATCGTGGGGGACAATTATCCTTGGGACATTTTTACCTACAAGGATATATAGGTAACTGCCAAAATATAGGACACACCAATATAGTGTCTTAATAGGGCGTTGGGCCACCACGAGCCGCCAGAACAGCTTCAATGCACATTGGCGTAGATTCTACAAGTGTCTGGAACTCTATTGGAGGGATGCGACACCATTCTTCCATGAGAAATTCTATAATTTGGTATTTTGTTGATGGTGGTGGAAAACGCTGTCTCAAGCGCTGCTCCAGAATCTCCCATAAGTGTTCAAATGGGTTGAGAACGGGTGACTGAGACCCACCCACACCCTTTAAATCCCCTATGCTCCTTTGAGACCCCTCTTTCAAAGGAATAGATCTCTTCTAGCCATGGTTGCCAAAATAATGGGCAACTGGGCATTTCTATACATGACCCTAAGCATGATGGGATGTTAATTGCTTAATTAACTCAGGAACCACACCTGTGTGGAAGCACCTGCTTTTAATATACTTTGTATCCCTCATTTACTCAAGTGTTTTCTGTATGTTGGCAGTTACCTGTACCATGACATTTGAAATTCTTATTTTAATAAAACAAACTTTTGAATGTAGCTAGTTTTTATAACGGTGTGTTGAGCTGCTGCGCATTTAGCCCTCCATGCTGCCCTGACATCAGTATGCTATTTTCCCCACTTCAAATAGCAATTACAGGCACTCATCTGAGTTTCCACAATACCCGACAGATCATTGCAAAACACTCACCAGAAAACCTTTTTGTAACAGAATCAGTTCTATCTTGGTGAAAATCTGACTTCTCTTTCGCTGTTGCTGTTAGCCAAACTACCAGAGAAAAGCAGAATGTCCGCTGTTTACATCTGCCATGTGCATTTACATCATTCTAATTGGTAGACAGTCAATATCCGGATATCCGAAAAAGTATCATGATATTATTTGAATAGTAAAATAATTTAAAATGCCCATCCCTACTTTTCGCAATGATCAGAAGTAGTGCACTATACTGTATGGGGAACATGGTGTTATTTTAGGCTTGTCCTATGTGTTGTAGTATCTAGCTCAGGGTGTCTCTTTTAGATTGTGTGTCTGACCCCGCATCAGTTTAACTTCAACTCCTCTCTCTTTCTCTATGCTGTCGAGCAAACTTCACCTACAGCTTTCACCACAAAACCATGCGTGGATACAGCAGCCGTCTCTCTTTCAAACTCGACGTGCTTCACATTGTATGGAGGTAACTCACCCCTTCCACCACCACATAGTGTATATGTAGCATCCACCTGAGAAATAAGGAAAGGGAATACAGGAAGAGAACATGCTGTTTGTCATGAACGTTGGTCACATGTCATCAGTATGCGTCACCTGCGAAACTCATGGTGCAATGACTAACTGCTCTCTCAGGCCCTGGCCCTGACACCAACCTCCACATGACTGTCCTACTGTCTGGGAGCAGTGGGGAGATGGGAGAATGTCTGTTGGGCTACAGAGCTGACACACAATGCAAAGGGGTTAGGTGACAGTGTAGACAGCAGGCTACCCAGGCTTCAGCCAGAACATGTACAGCTACAAGTTACATGTTGAAGGAAAATGAAAATACCTTCTCACTGTTTAGATGCTCCCAAAGTTCCACTGTACATTTCCACCACTGTAGGTCTTTTATTTAGACCTCAAGAAGTATTGGTTGGATAGTAGAAACGTTGCTGAGACGTTGTTTGATTAATCTTGAAGCATCTAACCCCCCCCCAGCACTCCCTGTGAGCACTTATTCTGTTGATGTAACTTACATTGTTACACTTTGACAGTTAAAGGAAAACTCCATCCAAAAACGACCTTTTGGTATTTATTTCATTAGTCCATTGTTGATATAGTCCCAAAACCGCTTTTCCACTTTTCCTTTGCGTAAGGGCAATCTGTGTACAGAATATTTCACTCTCACAATGCTTGTAAAGATGTCATTATTACTACTCCTATCTCTAGCTTTCTTTTTGCTCGTCCTATTTTGTGTGTGCAGATCTTTCACTTATTTTTTAAAGTTTGGTTTCTGTTGTGTATATAGTGTGTATTGTGTGACGCCACATAGACCTAAGAGTCCCGGTCAAATGCTTTTAATGGTTTTGTTTTTACTAAACAACGATGTGTACTGATTAATGTTGGATCACTTCAATGCCTCATGGTCGTATATGGCAGGGTGAACGTGCCCTAGTACTACTCAACTGATTCAAATAACCAACTCATCATCAAGGGTTGGGTGGATGTATCATTATGGGTTTCAGTCTAAGATGGTAATAATGACTTATTTTAAGATACCAATGTATCAGGGTTGCCTGATTGTCTGTCTCTTCCATTAAAGGACTTGACAGTGAGTGACCCAACAGTGTTGCTGGGTAGAGTAGTTTTCTTAGCCGTGTCTGTAGTCCAACAGTGTGGATAATCGGAAAGTAATTTCACCAGTTTAAGTCCTCTGTGATTGGCTAGCCTGGCTCAGTGTGGGCTAGGTTACATTGGCTCACTGTGTGTGAGGTCTATGATATTCAGTTCTCTATGGTAGCCCTGTTGTTGACTCTGCGTAATTGTTTCAGCCTCCCGGGCTGGCACTGGTAGAAGTTCCCTGTAGGAACAGATCTAGGGTCAGTTACCCCCTCAATGCCAATGCAGACCTTAACCAAACATGGAGCTGACCTTGGATTAGTGTCTAGGAGTAACTTTGTGCTACCTCCTCTCTGCTGCAGCAGCGCTGGCTCCAGTGGTCAACCACTGAATGTCCTGAAGGAAGTCTTCTATTACATGACAACATGACCAATGACTATTTGAGTGTCTAGCTAGCTCCTCTTCTAATCTAAAGCCTTATATGTCTGTATGTGTCCTGTTGGTACTGGCTCATTCTGAAGGAGGATTTACTTCACTGTCCCACTCTGAATGTTATGATGTCATGTTGAAAATGAGAGGTCTATAAAATAACATATGTTAGCTTTGGTGCAGAATTGTGAATCATTGTTGATTTTAGATGTTAGTCAGTCATTCACTCACTCACCAGAAAACAGCCCGTACTGTACCTCAGAGCTCAGGGAGATATGTTAGTAACTGTTAACTCTTCACTGAACCTACTGCCATAAAGCCTACCTAACACTGCTACAAAGATGACATAACATGTTATAACCAGTCATCATGACAGCTAATGCAATCTCATGAAAACTGACTTCACACTAACATAACTCAAACTATTATTTAGGTTTGTTGGTTAGATTAGCCAAAGCCTACATCATACATAATGACTGCTTATTATGTTTTCTATGTCATTCTTATGACAGTGTTATAATGCCTTATGACAGATGGTTTAGGTGAAGTGTATGAAGACCCAGATGGAGGTGGCATGTCGCCAGGCTGTAGCCCGTCTCTAGATTATGATTGTATGCTAGTGTATTCCTATGCCAAGCCCACCTTGAGATTGTTGCTCATCATTTTAAACTTTTTTAGCACTGGGGTTGAATGATGCTGAAAAATATCAGGCTCTTCATGCCATGAAAAAAATATGAATAAAAGTGTTTTCTGGACTTTCATTGCTCTGTGTTTGTGTTCAGCAGTAAAAGTCTTAGCTTGGAACTTATCCAAATGTGCTGCAGATAGGAATGTAATGTAGACTACACAGAGCTAGGGTTGTTAGGACTGTACGGTTAATTACACAACTAATAAGTATGGAGAAAAAAAAAATATGTATGCACTCACTAACTGTAAGTCGCTCTGGATAAGAGCGTCTGCTAAATGACTAAAATGTAAATGTAAAACTAGACCACCAGAGGCTGCTCTTTCCCTCCTCTCCCAGTGAGGTCTCACTGTCCTCAGTCTTGCTCATCATATTTGTATGGAGGAGGGCTCATTTAATACACAATATATCTATTGTATGTTGTCATTCATTTCCCCCAACAAGAAAACACAATCTTTAAGATGATTTCTCTCATATTTGTGCTCCAATCAACTCCTGTTATACACTGGCAATGGGGCTGTGTAAAAAAGAATTCTCTACACGGAAATAAACTGTCCGTTTATTAGGTACACCACCCTGTTCACGAAAATGGTTAGCTCCTACAGACAGTGAGTCACGTGGCCGTGGTTTGCTATATAAAGCAGGCAGACCGGCATCGAGGCATTCAGTTACTGTTCGATTGAACGTTAGAATAGCCAACATGAGTGTGGAATGATTATCGGTGCCAGACGCACCAGTATCTCAGAAACGGCCGGCCTCCTGGGCTGTTCACGCACCACAGTGTCTAGGGTTTTCTGAGAACGGTGCGACAAACAAAAAACAATCCAGTCAGCGGCAGTCCTGTGGGTGAAAACAGCTTGTTGATGAGAGGTCGAAGGAGAATGGCAAGAATCGTGCAAGCTAACAGGCGGGCCACAAACAGGCAAATAATGGCGCAAAACGGCATCTCGGAATGCACAACTCGTCGATCCTTGTCACGGATGGGCTATTGCAGCAGACGACCACACCAGGTTCCACTCCTATCAGCTAAATGCAAGAAGAAGCGGCTCCAGTTGGCACGCGATCACCAACACTGGACAATTGAGGAGTGGAAAAACATTGCCTGGTCTGACGAATCCCGGTTCCTGTTGCGTCATGCTGATGGCAGAGTCAGGATTTGACGTAAGCAGCATGAATCCATGGCCCCATCCTGCCCGGTGTCAACGGTACAGGCAGGTGGCGGTGGTGTAATGGTGTGGGGAATGTTTTCCTGGCACACGTTAGGCCCCTTTATACCAATTGAACAATGTTTCCATGCCCCAAAGAATTCAGGCTGTACTGGAGGCAAAGGGGGGTCCGACCTGGTACTAGATGGGTGTATATC